TTATAATACCGAACTTTGGGTTTTTTAGCACAGGTTTCAGGTTTTTTTTAGGTTGTTTCAAAGACACAGTGGAGCAGTGCAGGGTATAAACAGGTATATGTCCACTTATTTTTCAGCTAGCATTGTGTATACCCACTTCTAAATCCCTCTGATGCATATCATTCAGTAGTGTTCTTTTTTTCCGAGGAAGGACATAGTTGTCTAATTTTCATAAGTGAATGAAGTAAGGAATAAGGACTCACTCACAATACGTAATTATAGTTATCACACCCATCTGTGGACCAATATTGATTGCAAAATCTTCACCTCTTGTGTGCATAATGCAGACGTTTAGTGGCAATGTGCAAATACTGCTGGCCCCTTTTTGGGTGAGGTATATGCAAGAGTAGTCTTACATGTCACTGTTAACCAGGCGCTTATCCTTTGCACTACTGTAAAGATATGATAGTTTGTTACAGAAATCAGATAAGAGACTTTGTGGTCACTATTTTCCCACAATGCACTGGCTGACACTGATCTCCACCCTCACAGCATCTCTGCAGCCTGCAGGGTAAAGACCAGTGTAGCTCCCCTCCCTTTTAAATCACAAACACAAGATGTTCTTTTGTTTACAGGCATTTATGTGCACATCCATGCAGTCAGGCATGCTGTGAGAACTAGATAAAAGAAAATACAATAAAATGAGCATAATGCATATAGGCCTACAGTGCATTCTCATAGAGAATAATCATTAAACAAATATATCTTGTATACTCTGTCTATAAACCGATCATATTAACAGATCATTAGCTTGCTGGACATTTACTACATTAACATGCAATTGTAAACGTTGTGTGGAATTAATTAGTATTCCTCATTGGCTGCGTTAACTCAAGGGGAGAAAAAGAAAAGGAAACTTTAACTTTTGACTCTTCACTTCTTCAAATCTTCATGAACATACAGTATCATGACTCCACATAATCCGAGATGCACCTGGCTGCAGACCTCCACTGTGAGGTCGCTTCCGGTGCAGGCTCCACTGTCAGAACACCTCCACTGTCAGGACGGGAAGTGCATACTTTTTTTTGGGGGGGGGTGGAGGACGTTTAAATGTCGATTTCACCTGCCTTTTAATTCGAGGGAGACCAGCGAGTCAGTATATGTCCCGAGTAGCGGTGAGTTGCTGATTTTGCTTATCCACAGAAAGTAAATGCATGGTTTCTGGTGTACTTCCTCAATATAGGTTCCGTAAAATAATAACGTCATAGAAGTCATTAATGATGCAAATTACCGAATGTTACATGTCGGTTTGAAGCTAGATTAGATAAGGTCAAAGTTAACTTTCACCAATGGCGGTTAACATCAACACCTTCAGTAGGGATCATTAACTTTTTAGTGCATAACGTAAAGTAACTGTTCGCATTTGTTTGTATGTAACGTTATAAAACATTTTTGTAAACTCTCCTTGCATTAGCTGGGCATCGTCACAAAGTTGAAAACGTGTCTTTCTGAACTCACAAACGTGATATCACCTGTTTTAGTGCACAAGTGGAATCAAAATGTGGCAGGACTACATGGCACATTTTTATTTTTATTTTTTTCCACCTCTGTTATACTGTTGTACTGTATACTACAATATATTATATATAAAACGAATAGTAACTGAAATTACTGAGAAATAGCATGCTTCTGCACCATCAGTACTTTTATTTTTGATACTTGAGTATATTTTGCTTCTAACATAACATACTAAATTACTTCAGTGTCTTATTTTAGCCACTTTCACTTAAGTACGTTTTTGAATGACTTTAACCCGTAGTGCAGTATTTTTGTAGTCGTTATTACTTCTTCTACATAAGTAAGGCCTCATTTACACTACCTGGTGCAAGTGGCCATTTTACCTGTCAACAAAGACAATCTAAGTTTGCAGGCTGTATACATTAATTTTAATTGAAGGTCATGTACTATAATTTAAACATGATGCATTTTATATCCTTTTTAGATGCATCATTCAATCATTCTATGTGGTGGAAAGCCTGCAGTGGAACGCTGCACAACATGCTGCAATCAGTTCCACTGCCCCCTTTGTCCCAAAGGCATGTTTAAACCAAGCCAACCAGCCAGACATCAGCGGCATTTGGAGGTCCACATGAAAAATGCCATTGCATTTGAAGGTAATGCCATTGCATTTTAGATTAAAGATAGGCTACACACAGATTTGTGTGTGTGTGTGTGTGTGTGTGTGTGTGTGTGTGTGTTCATGTGACTTGTTTGTCATTGTCTAATATAAACATTTTCTGGACTTACTCTTAGTTAAGAAGATTTGCCACTGCAATTTGAACTGCAGGAATGGGGGACATTATCATTGTCCTATTTGTGACAAAACCGTTATTAGAAGGACAGAATATTACAACTGATCATTTTGCTTATCTATATATTTTCAGGAAGAGGAGCAGCAGGCTGAGGCCTCAGTCAGACCTGCCAACGTGGACACACCAGTGGAAGGGGTAAGCTTTTTCACATTATCTATTGGTCAGATACTGTTGGTGCAGTAGCTATGGTACAGACATCTTTCTGTCTTTCCATAGGACTCGGTTGAAGATCGCATTCTTCGCCATTGCAGACATGCAGCAGAGTGGGTTGGGGCCAACAAACAACTGTTCTCTGCCAAAGTGGACCTGCCTGATGTTCTGTACATGGGGGAGGAGAACCAGGCTGAGGCTGCTCTGCAGTATGGGAGGGTGTGGAAAGTGGATGACCATGAAGAGGAATCCATCCTGGAGCCCTTCAAACTCACATTTTACACACTGAGGACGTGGAAATTCTGTGAGGAAATAATGGACAAAAGAAATAATTTGGCCTATTGTGAATGTCACACAGATGAATGAGTTTGTGTTCGAGAATAAAGGGCTACAGATCATTTGATCATGTTGTGACTTGGTGTGTTTTTTATGTTTTTCTCATTGATCACTTAATAATTCACTGGGATTATACTGTAGATATCAAGAGTTAGGGTTGTATGTATTGGTACTTAGGTGTTCCAGCAGCACAAGAACATAATTAGCATAGACATAGAACCAAAAATGAAATTTATGGTGGGTAAGAATAAAAATACAGAATAATACAACAGAAAAACAAATTGCAAAAAATATAAAGAAAAAGAGCAGTGCAAGAAAGTCAAAGTTAAATGATAATGAAAAGGCAGCAAAGTATTGTATATACTGTATAGTACACAATAAAATGTATAGGCCTATTCATAAGCCAGATGTTGGCTTATGAATATGAGTAATAACTTAAAAGAAAATTTGTGCACTGACGAATGTTATTCCTGCCCTACATTGTTTTCATTGATCAACTATTTGACCTTCTCTTTTCAAGATCCTCAGCTTTATTGTAGGCTACAAAGACAATTAAGCCCCGAGGCATATCACCCACCGTTTGTTTTTCATAATGACTAAGTTGTAAAGTTACGCAGTGCAGTGTTTATTAGTCTACATATATGGCAATCATTAATGAGAAGTGTTCTGAAAAAGACAGGCTTGAGAGTGGAGCCTGCGGCGGTAACGGCCTCTCAGTGGAGGTCTGCAGCCAGGACCTCTTGGATAATCCTCCACTTAACCTGCTAGGTGCTCTGTCCCTCAGTGATGTGGAGAGTGTGCCTAATTATAATCCAACCTGGGTTCGCTATGGAAATATATTACAGGTCCTTTTGAACATACGATATGTTTTATGTGCATGTTTTAAGTATGCTTATATGTATTTAAAAAATATATACCTACATTAAATTTATTCAAACGTAAATTATTCTATTTTTAATTCAAAACTACTAAATGAATTCAAACTGCAAAGTGACTCTGATGACAGCTACAACCAGACCTCAGATCAGTGATTGCCTTTACTTTGTATTGAATGATATTGATAAAATTCAAATAATTACTTGGTAATGTTTTTAACAGTAACCACCAAGATTATCAATAAATTCAACTCAATGATTTCTCGTGTATTGGGCCTGTTACACTGACGTTATGTCGATATCAGCCTGGTTCTGAAGTGTTGTGAAATATAGAGCAGTGTTTTATTGTGAAGGAAACACTGAGTGCCGCTGCAGCTTCCGGTTAGGGATGGGCGATACCACACTTTTAGGATTCGATACAATACTGATACTTTTTCTTGCAATTTCATCAATACCGATACTGATCATTTCTTATTGGCAATTGTTTTTCAATTAAAATATTATTACACTTAAGGCAAATCACATGACAAATACTGGCCATTTATCCCAAATGTATTATGTGCAATACATAATAAAAATAAAAGGAAAAATAAATAACATAACTATGAATGAAATAAATTAAATATGAACAAAAACATGCACATTTGCACTTTCCTGACTTATTTCTCAAAAAACAAAACACCTGTATGTTGAAGTAAACATGTAACACTGTACCCTTTCACTGAAGTAACAATCAGAATCAGAATCAGAAATACTTTATAATCCCAGGGGGAAATTATTTTTGTTACAAAACTCCACATATACAAACAACATATATTATACAAAACAACATCTATCAAAGACCAGAGACAAGAGAGATGTTTGACATTAACTTTGTAAAGCACATAACAGATAACAGAACAGTAATAACAGAGTTAGTAGACATTTGTTACTTTTATTATTTATTTATTTTTAAGTATTTTTGGGGGCTTTTTATTGCCTTTATGATAGTGACAGCTGAAGACTGGGCCGGCTTAGTCCCACGTTTGACGCTCACATAGTTTCCTTGTCACGTGACACGAGCCAGCTCAATACGCCGCCAGGTACGGGGGTGACTCGGCACATAGTAATTGAAGTAAGCTATCAAAAACAGTTGAAAGTGATGCATGCACCCCCAATTCTTATTTTTTAGTTTATTTCGATATTTGTTTAAGGAAATCGATGCCAAATGAGCAGGGGCGTTTCTAGACCCCCTGGGGGCCCTAGGCAAGAAGGACCAAGGGGCCCCCCAGAATCATGATAAATGAAGTCCAAAAGAAATCTTTTATTAAACAATTAACATATAAAATAAATAATAAATAACATAACTGTCTGAATGCAAACTTTACATACAATATATAAATAACAGAAAAACAAACATAACTGAAATGTGCAAAATTTTCAGAATGATAAAGTCCATGTCTGTTATTTGGAGTGGTCCTTTTCTCACAATTTGTCACCGAGCATTGTCGTTGATGGCTTTTGGCCACAGCACAGGATCATCTGATATTATTAGATTTTATTTTATTTGAGTACCTTCTGGTGATGTGGTGTCACAGGCGATGAAGAGGTGGTGTGGCCTCAAATTGTAAAGGTGCTGCCATGCTGCTGCTGCATGAAGTTGCCATCATGTCCTGCTCATCTTCCTCAAGGTCCCCCTCATGATCTGAGGTTGATATTGCTAGAACGAAAATAGTATAAGAAACTTGTTTAAGAAAAATATTTGTGTAGTCATATTAAATCAGATAGATCCCATGATATATTTTAAATGGGAGAGCAAGTCACCGTAATCTTAACTTTAAAAAGGAAACTAAATAAGTTTGTACTTTGATGTGTGGAGGTCTGCTGTTGCTGCTGTTGCTGTTGTTGTTGTTGTTGTTGTGGGACAAAAAACTTTAACAAAGCACCTTGAGGAAGAAAAAAGAAAAGAGCACCATGTATTTGGTTGGCTGAATTCACTTTACACGGACTTTAATGTGCAGTAAACTTTTTGGTGCTTGGTGGGTGACTGGGAGTTTGGGATAAAGTGGCAGGCTGGCTGGCAGCACTACTTTTTTTATAATGTAACACACATAGCTTACACATTCCCACTTACCACTGTCACGGTTTTTCTTTTCATCCTCTTCTTGTTTTTTGTTTTTTTCTTTTCGTGTGCCCAGAGATATGTGCGCTTCATTTTTTTATCTGTGTTTGACCGGGACCGCACGTCGATGCCGGCTAGTAAGGGGGCCCATTAGGGAGTTTCCCGACGTGTCATTGCAATGTCTACGGGGGTTTCAAGTTGTGTCGCTAATATGGAGCGATATCAGCCGTCCCTCGGGCCCCCCTTCAGCTCGACGTGTCCACGTCTACGCCCATCCGGTGTAACCGAAAGTAACCGAAAGAAAAGTTGATTACTATATTGCTACTACTGACAACTATAGTTGTTAGTGCGTCGGCGCACGGTCCGGAGCTCCGATACACGGACAGAAAAGTGAAGAAGAGTAAAGATGAAGATGTTGCTGGTGTCTGTGATCCTTGTGCTTGGTAAGGTTGAACTTTCTGTGTCCAAAGTGCTTTGGGAAAGCTCCGCTCCACTCTGTGTCCATCGAGCGTTATTTCCTCATGGAGGAAACTCCCCAGCCTGGAGGACGATTCATCAATATTCTGATCAATCATCATATTTACTATTAAAAGTTTCTATACAACTAATGTTATTGATGGAAGCGGCTCTGTACATTACTGTCAGACTGGAAACTACAGAGGACTTCTCACAGCCTCTGGCTCACTTCCTGTTCATCAACTTTCCTCTCACACTAACTCATTCATTAACTCACTGCAGCTATAACAGCTGAGGATACATTGTGTTTATTGATGATGATCAGATATAGATTACAAGGTGAATGGTAAATGATGATGATTGAAGCTGCAGTATCTAATCGGTGACAGATATAATGTGGGTCTGCTCTCCTGTTCCTTTAATGAATGAGGAGGAGACTACTTTCTGTCTGATGGGACCAGCAACAAGCTGATATAAAGAAACTGATCAACTGTGTCCTTACAGTTACCCAGCATGCCTCCGGAGGGAAGACCATTGATGGGATTGAGGGGGAGGAGTCTGTTGTTTTGCCCTGTGAGGCTCCTCCTTTTACTGGTGAATATGTGTTATGGAGCCGCGAGGATCTCGATCCCACCACTGTTCATCTACGTCAAAAAAACAAAACTGATGCAGAGAAAGATGAGTTTAAAGATCAAAACCCGTCCTACAGAACCCGCACAGAGCTGCAGAGGGACGCTTTGAAAACTGGAAATGTCAACCTCACTCTGAAAAACCTTCGCCTGTCAGACAGAGGCAACTACATCTGTGAGGTCCTGAAGGATGGAAAGAGACACGAGACACACGTATACCTGCAAGTCTTCAGCAAGGAAACACAGGACAGCCTTACTCAAGGTTAGTTTCCTTCCTTCATGATCCTTTATCTGAGTCTGCAGGCATTAGATCAGATCAATCAGTCTGCAGGTATTAGACCAGATCAATCAGTCTGCAGGTATTAGTTCAAAGGTCAATGAAGGTCTTTCTGTGTGTTTTCTGTTACAGTTGAACTACAACGACAACATAGAAAAGACACATTGATCGGTGTCTTCTCTGCCATTGTGGTGCTGATGATTATCTGTTCTGTTGGTCTGTTCCTGTTCCTGTATCGTTGTGGATACATCAACTTCAACAAAGGTGTGTGTGTGTATAATTCTTTTAGGTCCCCTGTTGGACACAACCACTTTTCACAAGCACTGGATGTCAATCAGTTTTTCAATAAACAAGCTCAGTTTGCAGTTCAGCAATTCTAAGTACATAAAAAGGTATCCACTTGTCCTGTATAGAATGACAGGATTCAGCTGTTGGTTGGTACATATTAATGACACAATAATGATGATAATGACACTCTCTCTGAGAGACACAACTAACAACCAGCAGCCTTTGCTCTTTATTGGGAGCAATTACAGTAACACTGCAGTAACTGCAGTTGCTTCCTTTTGCAGAGAGAGACCAAGATCCTCAGTGAAGCTCAGTTTCTCACTAAATTGTAGGTACATCAAAAATACTAAGTGTAGTGCAGCTCCAATGTGTCCAACTACAATAACTTATTGAATGAGAACAAAAAATGGTTGAACATAAAGTGAGTGGTTGTAAACATTTGCAGTGTGTTTGTTAATCAGACAGTGATGGTGCAGCGCTTTATTCTACCTCTTTATACAGGATCTTTATTTCTACCACTAATGTTTAGTTCAGAAAACACATTTCAAAGGGGGACATTAATGAAAAAGGTTTGAGAAGCTCTGTTTTAACAGGTAATACTAATTCCTCCTTGTCAGTGCTGCTGCTACTGCTCTATGTTGCTGATGATATATTGATTGATGGGTTGTTGTCCTCTCAGTCCCCCAGGTTGAGGTGGATTCAGGGATGAAGTCTGTCCTGCTGCCCTGCAAAACCTCAGTTCACCTGCCTAAGGACGGCACAGTGGAGTGGACGGACAAAGGCAACTGGAAGGTCCATGTGTATCCGAACAGCTCCGATCAGCCTGAAGAACAGCACCAGGATTACATAGACCGAACAGAGATGAAGAAAGATCTGACAACTGGAGACTTCAGTCTGACCCTGAAATTCCCCACAGACACAGACAATGAAACCTACACCTGCACCGTCTACAACAAGGAGAGAAAGATCCTGATGAAGAAACAAGTGGAGCTCAGGGTCAAAGGTCAGTGCTGTATATACAGATCAAAGGTCAGTACTGTAGATACAGGTCAAAGGTCAGGCGTGCACCTTCAATCACTGATAATCACAGTGCTGACTGATCATTTGAGGGCTCATTAATAATGCTGATCAATGATTGGCTCACTGGATCCACGTCAGACAGACTGAACTGAATCTACTTCAACATCAACAAACACGTTTCAACTCCTTTAATACTGAACCATCTACAAAACCTTCACTGACAACACCTTTCATGAGTTCTCTACAAGATCTGAATCCTGATCCAACAGAGCCTCCAGCTCCTGATTCAGGTCTTTATGGTTTGGGCATTGAACTGTTCGACTAAATCTGGTTTACAGCTGTTCAGATCCCTGTATTTGGAGGGACAGATGAGGCCATTTGGTTATTAATTTAGTCTCTAATAGTAATAATTTTATCAAAAAAGAAGTTCATAAAGTCGTTGCTACTGAGGGTTATGGGGATATATGGCTCAATAGAGCTGTGACTCTATGGAGGGCCTTTCTATAGGTTTTAAGACTATCTTGCCAAATTGAGCGATATTCTAATAGTTTGGAAGAGCGCCATTTCCTTTCAGATTTCTGCACTTTTTGCTTTAATTGGCGGGTTTGGTGGTTGTACCATGGTGCTAGTCTCCTATGTTTTAATATTTTCCTTTTTATAGGGGCAATATAATCTAATGTTCTTCATAGTGAGTCTGCAGCACTATTAACAAGATTATCAATTTGGGAGGGACTAAAGTTATTATAGGACTCTTATATATTCAGACATTAAATTAAACATTCATGGAATGTCCTCCTTAAATTTAGCTACAGCACTGTCAGTTAGACATCTGCTGTTTTGCCTAATGGCTTGTAATCTAGTAATAGGAATTCAAAGGTTATTAAATAATGGTCAGGTAGAAAAGGATTTTGTGGGAAGTCTATTAAATGTTCAATATCAATGCCATATGATAGAACGAGGTCTATACTGCCCTTGCAAGGAAATCAATATTTTAGCAGTACTATTACACTATTACACAACACAGTGTACATAACATAACAAATGCTGAATCACAGTGGGCTAACTACTACTACTACTACTACAGCTATGCTAGCAATCAATCTCTAGACCGAATTAGAAATGAAATGAATACAGAACAAATATATGATAGATATAACATTGAAACTTATAAATCAACAATACTCACGGACAAGTAGTGTCCAAGGCAACAATGTGAAAGATAACTGCAGCAGGAGAGGCAGGCCCATATGGTCTCAGTTAGGGATGCACCGATATGAAAACTTTGGCCGATACCGATATCCCATATTAATTTTGCTGTTATGGCCGATAACCGATATTTACCGACATCGATATATGTTTTTTAAAAAAAGTTTCTGAGATGATAAAATTTAGTACAGACTGAAAATCATGCAAACTGCATTTTTGAATGTCTTCCTTTATTTTCAGAACATATTTTACTTCCAAATAACAAAGTTACAGGGCTACCATAAAACATAAGTAACCAACCTTTACCACTTATCAAACATGCCAGTATTCATGACAACATGTTTTCAGCTCTGTGCACTCCAGTTAAACTCAAATCTGTGAAAAGGCTAAATCAAAATATCTAAAACATGTCCTGACTGTTAGTGCACATTTTTTCAACTTGCACTGTAATTTTCCACATAGCAAACATGCAGTCAAATGTGCCAGCAATGGCAATCCTGCAAACTCTTGCGCATGTAAAACAGCTCTCTTCATTTCAAAGTTTCCATCAATCCACTGAGCAGTAAGGCTCAACATACTCATCTGACTTATGTCTGAACTCCATATATCCATAGTGAAGCTAATGTCAGTCACACTGTCCAACAATTTGTGGATATGCGTGGCCACGACTTCGTACAAAGCAGGGAGGGAGACATCGGAAAAGTAGCGCAGACTTGGCAGGCTGTAGCGGGGTTCAATATGCTCTATCAACCGCCGAAATCCTCGGTCCTCCACTATGGAAAATGGCTGGTTGTCAAGAGCAATCATTTCCATCACCTTGTTGGTTATTGACCTGGCTTTTGCGCTGTCCTGGGCAAATTTCTTGGTCTGGTCGAGTATCTGCTGTATTGGGCTCCCAGCTGCAGCTGCAGCTGCTGCTGCTTTCATTTTTGCCTGCTGGCTAACGTTGGCAGCATTTGCTTCCTGTAATTGTTCGTGTAGTTCTGGGTGGCGGTTTTTCAAATGACATATTAAATTTGTGGTGTTGAATGACTTGACGCGGCATCCTCCTCGCATTACCTCGACTTTGCAGGTGTTGCATACTGCTTTTCGAGTGTCTTCTTTTGACACCGTGAAAAACGCCTACACCGCTGACATTTTTTCTCCTCTTCAGTTTAACATCCCACAATCCTGTGCTGCCACTGTCGTGTGCCCAAACAAATACACATGGCCAAATCCCCCTCCCCCTCCTTCTCCCTCTCCCGACACACAAACAGCAACTACAGGATATACATCGGTTGTGGATATCGGCCCAATTTTACTCATCGGACCGATGCCGATATGTTAAAAAATTACGAACATCGGCCGATACCGATATTAATGCCGATGTATCGTGCATCCCTAGTCTCAGTCTTGGCTAGTTACACAAAGAGAAATACCCTGCTCTGCAACTGTTGCTGCTGAAACAACCAAAAGGGGGCACTGCAGTGCATGAAATTGTGTTAATACTCAAACAAAAGGCAGAACAAGGTCAGAGTGAGATAACAATGAGTGGGTTTATTTACACTCTGACAGAAGCCAATTGAGTCTATTAATGTGATAAATGCATTACTAAGGCTGTCATTGTTAACATCCACATGAATATTAAAATCACCTACAATAATTACTTTATCTGTTTGAAGGGCTAAATTTGATAAAAACTCAGAATTCAGACAGAAAATCTGAGTATGGTCCAGGAGTGTGGTACACTACAACAAACACAACTGGCTGCAGTGTTTTCCAGGTTGGGTGAGAAAGACTTAGAACAAGGCTTTCAAATGATTTATAATTTAGTTTAGGTTTAGGATCAATTAAAATGCTTGAATCATATATAGCTGCTTCTCCACCTCCTCGGCCGGTTCCTTTTATTTTGTGCTACTGTGGAGTTTCATTTAGGTTTTTATGTTTATAAAGGTCCTCCAACCTAAAACCTGTTTATTGAGCTGTAAACTGAATTATCTGACTGTACTGAGATCAAACATCACTGCTGCTGTTAATATTCACATTATTACCAAAGTTATGAAAATCTGTATTCCAGGTGTCTCAATTTGTCCTGTTTTATGTCAGCCTTTACGTTCTAAGTCCAGTGCTGACACAGAGTGGACATTTTGGGACATTTCTATATAACCAGGGTTAACTTCCTCTGATCAGAGGAGGGCGCCCCCCCCTCCCCCAGCCTCTGCTCTGAGTTCAAATGTAAACTGGTGGAGAAACATAATTCACAGGAGGTTATGCTAGCTGTTGCTAACCCTCTACATAGTATGTTTATATTGTGGCGAAGTGGTTCGGACTTTAGAATCAGAAGCAAAAATACTTTATTGATCTCTGGGGTTAAATTTCTTTGTTACAGTTGCTCTACTCACTTAATGTTAAAGAATATAATTAATACTTATATCACAACATATATATATATTGTGTTATATATTGTGATATAAGTATTCAATTAGAATAGAAATTAATGTATTGGTAAATACATTTCAGTAAAAAATAAAATGGAAATTGAAACATAATAAGAGCCTATATACAAAGTAAATGTAAATGTAAAAGTATTTTCACAGTATGTGCTGGCAGAAAGGAAATAGTAATGAGTTAGTTACTTTAGACGCTGTAGAAGCAGCGGACTGCAATCTCCACCTTGATCCCATACTGACAGCCCCCCAACAGTACACATACCAGAGAGTTAGCCTCTCTGAGCCACTAGCTTCGCTACAACACAGCTGCTAGTTTTTTAGTGGTGCTTCCAGTCCGCTGAGGTCACTGAGTGTAGTGCAGCTCCAATGTGTCCATCTGCAATAACTGATATTGAATGAGAATAAAAACTGGCTGAACATAAAGTGAGTGGTTGTAAACATTTGCAGTGTGTTTGTTAATCAGACAGTGATGGTGCAGCGCTTTATTCTACCTCTTTATACAGGATCTGTATTTCTACCACTAATGTTTAGTTCTGATCAGAATTTCAAAGGGGGACATTAATGAAAAATGTTTGAGAAGCTTTGTTCTAACAGGTAACACTAATTCCTCCTGGTCAGTGCTGCTGCTACTGCTCTATGTTGATGATGATATGTTGATTGATGGGTTGTTGTCCTCTCAGTCCCCCAGGTGGATGTAGATCCAGGGGTGGAGTATGTCCTGCTGCCCTGCAAAACCTCAGTTCACCTGACTGAGGACGACACAGTGGAGTGGACGGACAAAGGCAACTGGAAGGTCCATGTGTATCCGAACAGCTCTGATCAGCCTGAAGAACAGCACCAGGATTACATAGACCGAACAGAGATGAAGAAAGATCTGACAACTGGAGACTTCAGTCTGACCCTAAAATCCCCCACAGACAGAGACAGCAAGACCTACACCTGCACCGTCTACAACAAGGACAGAAAGATCCTGATGAAGAAACAAGTGGAGCTCAGGGTCAAAGGTCAGTGCTGTAGATACAGGTCTGTATTAATTACAGTAGTGCAGTAGTCAGACTGATATCAATAAACTGACTGATTTCCAATCAGAGCTGACAGTATTGATCTGAATTTGGCTCAGGATGTTTTTATTGATCAAGAAGAAAGTGGAAGAAAGGAGCTGTGACTGTCAGTCTGGCTACAGTGCTGAAGAGGAACCTGGGGTTGTTCTTATTTTCTTCAATTAATGCTGAACAATAGGCTCCTCTGGCATTACGGAGGGCCATTTCCTTGCAGATTTCCGCGCTTTTTGCTCTAATTGGCGGATTTGGTGGTTGTACCATGGTGCTAGCCTCGTATGCTTTAATATATTCCTTTTCATAGGGTAATAGAATCTAATGTTGTTCCCAGTGAGCCTGCAGCACTATTAACAAGATTATAATTTTGGGAGGGACTAAAGTTATTATAGGACTGTTATATTCAGACATTGAATTAAACACTGATGGAATCTCCTCCTTAAAAGCACCTACAATAATTACTTCATCTGTTTTTAGGACTAAACTTGATAAAAAATTCAGATAATAATAATATACTTTATTGTCCTTCACAGGAAATTTGTTACCGCATTCTGTATACATAGATACGAAAAAAACAAAAAATAACAAAAAGAAAACACATATGGACACCACGACATAACAACAAGAATAAACACTTAATACAGCACATTTAGCACATTCACCACTCCCTGTCCTGTGCGTAGCACTCACTCACGGCTGTTACTATGATGCCTTGTTTAAAGACGCTATGACAGAAGGTACAAAACTCCTGCCATAGCGAGCATGTTTACAGGCCACGGTCCTGTATCTGCGACAAGATGGCAGAAGTACGAATAATGAGTTGAGGGGGTGGCTGGGGTCGTGTGCTATACTGTGTGCTCTGCGTGTAATGGCTGTATTGTTGAGGTCTGAGAGGTTGGGGGTGGGTTGACCAAGGATTTTGGAGGCGTGGTGTGTAATGCGTGTCAGTATGTTCCTATTTGAGGCAGTTAACATGTTGTAGAAGCAGGTTGAACAGTAGAGGATGACAGGTTGGACTATGCTTTTATAGAGTAATAACAGAAGTTGGGGGGCAACAGAGAGTGCATTGAGTTTGCAAGAAAAATAGAAAATCAGAGTATGGGCCAGTAGCGCGGTACACTGTAACAAACAGAACTGGCTGCAGTGTTTTCCAGGTTGGTGAAAAAGACTAAGAACAAGGCTTTCAAATGAATTATAATTTAGTTTAGGTTTAGGATCAATTAAAGGGCCTGAATTTTATATGGCTGCTACTCCACCTCCTCAGTTTAAGAGGACAGAGACCTGATGTTTAATAGTCCACATTTAATGCTTTTATTTTGTGCTACTGTGGAGTTTAATTTATGTTTTTATGTTTATAAAGGTCATCCAACCTAAAACCTGTTTATTGAGCTGTAAACTGAATTATCTGACTGTACTGAGATCAAACATCACTGCTGCTGTTAATATTCACATTATTACCAAAGTTATGAAAATCTGTATTTCAGGTGTCTCAACTCGTCCTGTTTTATATCAGCCTTTACCGGGGGGGTCCAGTGCTGACACAGAGTGGACAGTTTGGAAAGTTTCTATCAAACCAGAGTTAACTTCCTCTAATCAGAGGAGGGCAGCCCCCCTCCCCCAGCCTCCCCAGCCTCTGTTGGTTCAAATGCAAACTGGTGGAGAAACATAATTCACATGAGGTTATTCTAGTTGTTGCTAACCCTCTACTTAGTATGTTTATATTGTGGCGCATTGGTTCGGACTTTAGACGCTGTAGAAGCAGCGGGCTGCAATCCTTACCTTGATCCCACACTGACAGCCCCCCCACAGACATACACACATACTGTCGAGTTAGCCTCTCTGAGCCACTAGCTCAGCTACAACACAGCTATTAGTTTTTTAGTGGTGCTTCCAGTCCACTGAGGTCACTAAGTGTAGTGCAGCTCCAATGTGTCCATCTGCAATAACTGATATTGAATGAGAATAAAAACTGGTTAAACATAAAGTGAGTGGTTGTAAACATTTGCAGTGTGTTTGTTAATCAGACAGTGATGGTGCAGCGCTTTATTCAACATCTTTATACAGGATCTGTATTTCTACTACTAATGTTTAGTTCTGGTCAGAAGGATCTTGGCTGAAAACACATTTCAAAGGGGGACATTAATGAAAAAGGTTTGAGAAGCTTTGTTCTAACAGGTAACCCTAATTCCTCCTGGTCAGTGCTGCTGCTACTGCTCTATGTTGCTGATGATATGTTGATTGATGGGTTGTTGTCCTCTCAGTCTACCAGGTGGAGGTGGAGTCAGGGGTGGAGTATGTCCTGCTGCCCTGCAAAACCTCAGTTCACCTGACTGAGGACGACACAGTGGAGTGGACGGACAGATGCAACTGGAAGGTCCATGTGTATCTGAACAGCTCTGATCAGCCTGAAGAACAGCACCTGTATTACAAAGACCGAACAGAGATGAAGGAAGATCTGAAACTTGGAGACTTCAGTCTGACCCTAAAATCCCCCACAGACAGAGACAGCAAGACCTACACCTGCACCGTCTACAAGAAGGAGAGAAAGATCCTGATGAAGAAACAAGTGAAGCTCAAGCTCAAAGGTCAGTGCTGTAGATACAGGTCTGTATTGATTACGGTAGTGCAGTAGTCAGACTGATATCAATAAGCGGATTGATTTCCAATCAGAGCTGACAGTATTGGTCTGAATTTAGCTCAGGATGTTTTTATTGATCAAGTAGAAAGTGGAAGGAAGGAGCTGAAAGAAACACCAAATCTTTCCATCACTTAGAACAAAGAAATGCAGCTTTAATTGATTGTATCAATTAAAGATTGATGATCAGTTCTCACCAGATTTAACTCATCTTCACATCCTGTTGAAGAAGTTGATGAAAGAAAAGAAGAAGAGCAGAAATATTGATGAAATTAAAAAGCAGTTTGTGATCACAAGCAGTGAAAGATAACAATCCTCAGTAGTGAAGTTTCCAATTTATTTCAACATCATAGTAGTGAATGTGTCTTCTTTAGCAGCTCCACTTCCTTCAACTGTGTGTCCACCTTCAATCACTCTTGACACTCACAGTGCTGACTGATCATTGGAGGGCTCATTTATAATGCTGATCACTGATTGGCTTACTGATTGGAGTCAAATATGAGCATAAAACGTCAAGGACTGTAACAAACGCTGCCAGTGAACACAATCCAGACACAAATGATGTTTCCTTCTAAACACATTGGTCACAAACATTCAGTGGTTGATTAAAGCTCATTTGTAGGAGACCGCTGTTCTATTTAGGGATCAATATCTGTACAAATCAGAGAGACTTCAATCCACTTTATATCCCCTAAAGACAAACCGTAAGAAAAGTGGATTCTGACACATTAAAGCTCACATTGTGTTCAATGGGATTGATATAAAGAGAGAAAATGGACTCCTCAGACAGGGCTCCAGACTAAGTTTTTGCATCGGTTGCACTGGTGCGCCTAACTTTCTTTTTTTTAGGTGCACCAGCACAAAATTTAGGTGCACCCAAATTTTTCATTGCGTTGCCTTTAACACCATAAGGTCACCTTTTTATCGCTCTCCATAACTTTCATATAATGTGAATGATTTTTAAACAAGAACAAGGTGTAGAGAAATGTTTGTCTTTATTTGAAGCACAATTATATATAAAACAAAAAATAAAGTGTTTAAAGTGCTTCACTGAGCTGAAATCGAACATTTCAAACTAAAACACCAAGCAAAATAAAACATTTCCAAATAAAAGTGCTTGTGCTTAAATTGCTTCACTGAACTGAAATTGAACATTTCAAACTCAAACATTTCAAGTAAAATAATTATTAATGATAATAATAATGATTACTACTACCTGCTGCTGAAATGCAGCTGGGAGAGGGGCCACTTTCTCTACACACTTTTCACGGCATATTGTGTGTTTCGTAGACATGTTTTTTTAAAGTTTCGATACGAAACGTTGTTGACCCGCTCACGAATGCACTATTTCCGGCCACATTCTGACCGCACTCCTGACAGTACACGCAGTGCATTGCGTTACGTCCTTTGTTGTACCTTAGCCAGGGAAATTGTTTCAGCCAGTCCTGTCTGAAGGAATATATTTTGGCCTTTTTAATTTGGGTCTCAGAGCTGGGCTCTATCCCAGACTCGGTTGTCTCCTGACCGGTTGACCGGGGCTTGGTATCTCACCAGGGACCGAGGGCTCCGTGCCTTGACGGGATGGACTCTCTGTAGTGGGGATGGATGGGATTATAGTAGTAGGGCTGGTTGTAGGCTTGGTTTTCCTAATGAAAAAACTTTCAATATTTCTGCCGCTCTTCATTTTCCCTCGTTTTGTTCGTTTATTTTATTTTTCCATTTCAGTTAGTCAGCTACTCTCGCGCTCAGGTCACGCGCAGTTTTTAAACACACGCAACTTAGCGCGGTGAACAGGACCACAGCCAATCAGAGGCATAGACCCGCCCGAGCTCTGTCTCTTATTGGTTTAGAACACGATATGATCCTACCATGAGTGTGTGAGTTTGGTCACAGGAGAACACAGGAACACACGATGCGCTTGCGAAATAAATTGTGTTATGTTTTCACCCGGGCAGCGTCAGGTGCACCAGTGCGACCTAGAAAAATTATTAGTCGCATGTGCGACCAAATTGGTCAGTGATCAGTGTTTTGATGTTGAACATGTGTTTGAAATGCTGTGTGGAACCAAGATTCATTCACTGTTACATTTGAGCAACAGACAGCAGTTGAGATCAACACTGAGATGAGACATTGCTGCGAAGCAGCACATGGACAGAAAATTACAACATGTCCAACAGCTTGAAAACCTGCTTTTAGTTCCTATATTTCTGTCCCCTGTTACATACTAGTTTTATCTGGTTCTGTCCTTCAGGGTTCTCTACAACTTTATATTCAGTCAATAAAGTTATTACAAACTGCTGCTGCTGTCTGTACAGCTGATGTTGGGGTTTGTTGTTCTCTCAGACTGTCAGGTGGAGGTGAAGGAGGGGGCGAAGTTTGTCCAACTGCCCTTCCAGACCACAGCTAACCTGCCCGAGGATGCTACAGTGGAGTGGAGACACATTGAACCCAAATACATGAAGGTCCATGTGTATCAGAAGGGTTCTGTCCAGCGTGAAAGACAGGACCAGGATTACAAAGACCGAACTGAGATGAATAAAGACTCGCTGAAGACTGGAGACCTCAGTCTGACTCTGATATCCCCCACAGAGAGAGACACAGGAACATACAACTGCATCGTCTATAACAAGGGAAACAGCCTGAGACAGAAAACATTCCGGCTCACAGTCAGAGTTCAGAATGAGAATAGATTTCAAAGGTCAGGGGTCTCTATGTCTGTCTCCTCTACAGAGGGAACCAGTAACAGAGGCAATGAGATTATTCCTCTGATGACTGTTCAATCTGCCTGATGGATCAATCTTTGATTATTGGACAACGTGTGAAGACCAGCCAACCAGTAGCAGCCATATATGATTCGAGCCTTTTAATTGATCCTAAACCTAAACTAAATTATAATTCATTTGAAAGCCTTGTTCTTAGTCTTTCTCACCCGACCTGGAAAACATTGCAGCCAGTTCTGTTTGTTATTGTACCACGCTCTTGGCCCGTACTGAATTCTCAGAGTTTTTATCAAGTTTAGTCCTTAAATCAGACAAAGGACCTGTGAGAGTGCAGTCGGAGAGACTCCCTCACGAGGGAAAACACATCGGTCAGGTTTATTTGTTGGACCTTTTTGAACCGTTGACCTACCTGGAAGTCGGAGCCTGGATCGAGACATTGATGGTGAGCCACAGCCCAGAGGAGAACTAAACTTCATTACACACACACAGACACACACACACACACACACACACACACACACACAGACCACCAACTGACCAAATGTGCGGTAGGACAAACTCTCTCCACTTCCTCAGTGGAGGGGGGAGGGGGATTTTGAACTTTAACTCACAGCTGTGAATTTTTTTTACATTTTATATTTTTCTATATACCAGGGTAAGATTTGTGTCAGAGTGTGCATTTCCATGTGTTTGGTTTGTCCTTCCCATCCTTGTATTAAAAGGGAAGTGTTTTTGTTTCTCAAAGAAAGTACAACTGTGTCTGAGTCATTCCTGGTGTCGTTTGGTTAATCCTGGACTCCGTTGTCGAACATAGAACTTCTGACCCCAGTGGCCCTAAGTAATCAGTACACACAGTAATCAATTTCTGTTCCTCATCTCTAAAGGGTTACATCTAACTGACAGTGCTGTAGCTAAATTTAAGGAGGAGATTCCATCAGTGTTTAATTCAATGTCTGAATATATCAGAGTCCTATAATAACTTTAGTCCCTCCCAAATTGATAATCTTGTTAATAGTGCTGCAGGCTCACTGCGAACAAGATTAGATTCTATCGCCCCTATAAAAAGGAAAAGAGTCTGAGTTTAACATCAGAAAATTGCAGCTCATCCAGGTTTTTATGTCCTTAAGACATGTATGTAATGTAGATAATAGGGGATTTCCAATGATGCACTGAGCTCCTCTCTTCCTGCACACATTCATGTCCCATTAATGCATGTTACTAACTTAATAATAATAATACATTTTATTCAAAAAAGCGCTTTTCTGAATACTCAAAGACACTGTACAATATAATATAAGAAGAATACAAGAACATCAATCAGTAAAACAATATACAACAATAATTACATACGTTAAAAACACATGAGACTGAGCTTCACTTCTTCCCCGGAGTTCTTGTGCTTTCTCGTCTCGCAGGTTCTCATGGATCCTGGTGGAGCCTCCTGCCATGGTCCTGCTTTACTCTCATTTCTAATATCACTGATAATATTGTTATTATTACTATTACTATTATTATTACTACAGATACTATTATTACTATAATCACTGCTCATTGTCCTCCATCGATGTGGCTGTTGTTGTCGTCATCATCTCACTGTATTTACATCTGTATATTTTTAAGATCATAACTGCACACTATGTAATACAGTGTGTGTGTGTGTGTGTGTGTGTGTGTGTGTGTGTGTGTGTGTGTGTGTGTGTTACTGTGTGTGTTTAAGACACATGAAGTAACAAGTGACTCACAAATATTTATGTGGTAACTAGAGTTTAAATAGGCTATTTACGATGGAAATTATACATATTCTCCTAAAATCACAATGACAGAGTTCGTATCAATTGTAAATCTCTCTTTTTACTCAGCTGTCACACTGAAACTGGCCTCCAGCAAAGACAGTAAAATCAAGTCTTTTATGTGGTCCTTAAATGCAACAACAACTACCATGCACTACAATGAAGCTACTAGACTACTTCCAAAATTCAAAACACAAAATGAGAACCTGTTATCTTGTCTGATGGTACAGAAGCCTTGCATTGATACATTTTATTTCCTCTGTTTTCCCGTGATAACGAGATCATTTTCTCGAGATCTCGAGATAACGAAACTTTGTTTTCCTGAGATAACAACATAATTAATTCGAGATCTCGAGATAATGACTGTGATATGATAACTGTGGTCAAACCAGCCATTACTCCGATCCCCGTGCTCAAATCAGCCGCACTTAAATTTACAGCGTATTCCAATTTGGAGAAATTCAACAATAAAATTCCACATTTGTACCTGCTTTTAATGTACCTCAAATATGAGAAAAGATGCCACTTGGAGGTACAAATATGGAACTTTTGTTTTGGCATTTCTCCACATTGGTGCAGTAAAAATGCTTGATATTAAGTATGTTTTTTATTCATCATGGGCACATGAAACACTTTAATGTAACATATTTTATTTTAAATGTAGGTTCGAATTATTGCTTATATGCTTACTGTTCTTAATACCTTATATCTTAATACAAAACAAAGTTTTGTTATCTCGAGATCTCGAGAAAATTATCTTGTTATCACAGGAAAACAGGAAATAAAATGTATGAATGCATGGCCCTTTAGGGCTTCCGTATGATGGAAACAGTTTGTATGAATCACTAATATTTGTAGAGATGAGAATAAAACTGGCCTATATTTCAAAATACAGACACACACATAATCAAAAGTTCAGAATCACCACAAAAGCTTTATTCAGTACAGTCAGGTGGCTGGGAGCACTACTCTACATTTTGAAAAAAGTTATGTTCTGTACAAGCAGACTGATAACTAAAAGGACAGAGACAAAGACACTGAGCAACAGTTATTGGTCAAAGAAATTGGAAGCCTAGCATTAGCACTGTTTTAGTTTAGCAATGATATAGGGTCGATTGCACTTTTCTGGGCTGGAAAACAAATTCAAAATCAATTTGGGGGAAGAAATGGTTACAACAGTATTCTCACCAGTCATGCAACACTGTAGGGAGATAGACTAAATTAAAGCTTTAATCATTTAATTATTCTTTTCGCATTCGATTTCAAATGTAAACGATACATTTCGTGCCTGAATTGTACTGTTTTTAATCTATGGCAAAACAGCCCTTATTGAAGGAAAGATGAAAAACATCAATATAACAGGTGATTCCAGACTTTTGAACGCTGCTGTACATTTTTTGTTACAAACATTGCTGACTGGGTTTCAGTGCTGTTTATTATACTGTGCATTTTTTCCTGCTCTTGAGTAATGAGGTGCTTGGAATAATTATAATTACCTTTGCAAGTTAAGACACTACACCCCACTGATATACCTTTAATAGGGTAGTGCTCATTAATGTATCGTTCATCCATATTATTCTTAATTAGAAGACTGCATGTTATCTCTGGAGATCAATGAAGAGGGTATATTTTCCGCTGTACACAGGTCTGACATGCAGACATTCACTGGCTGCTATTGGCATCTGCATCATATGGAGTCACAGTGTGTAAAACAATCAACAACCAGAACAGGTGAGCCACAAGAACACTGTTTTCTGTTGCTTGTTTGAGTTAAGGATAATAACGATATATATTATATTAACCACTCAGGATGAGAATCAATGGTTTCAGTCATTTAAATGCCAAATGCACAAGTGTTTATGTGTTCATTTGAAGTATGTGAATTTTTTCAGACTAGAGAGATTTTGTGCACAGTGGACCAGAGGCCGAGGCACGCAGCCTGTGGAGTTCAACTATGTCTTTACTCAGGACTGTTATAAACAACTCTGATATCATTCATCCTCCAGGCTTCTATATCATCGGATTTGAGACATTTCCCTACATCAGTATCTACATCATCTTCCTAGCGTTTGTCTATGTGGTTACACTAGTGTTTAATATTTTGTTGATCTACATAATTTCCCGTGACCACAGTTTACACACTCCAAAATGTATGGCTGTGGTCAACCTTGCAGTAATTGATCTTATCTTAAACACTAGCACTATACCCAGCATGATTAAGACATTCCTCTTCAAGGATAACTTTGTTCCATTCAACCTATGTCTGTTACAAATGTATGTCTACTACACTGTCATATCTCTGGAGTCATACGCACTTGCTTTACTTGCCTATGACCGGTTGATTGCAATATGTTTCCCTCTACGCCAGAACTTATTCAACACACTGCCGATCATGTCTTGTCTTGTCGGAGTGACTTGGGTTTACAATCTGGGAAGAGTGTCTTATAGCACAGCGATCATGACTCAACTGTCTTTTTGCAATTCTGTCAGAGTGTTCAGCTATTTCTGTGACTATGCTCCTGTGTTTAGACTCGCCTGTAATGATTACACATTGCAGTGGTCCGTGGCTTCAACTTCTAGTATGGTGAATCTGATGGGCCCCTTTACTTTCATTCTTCTGTCATACGCCAGCATCCTGGTGACTGTGTTCAGGATGAAATCAGTAAGCAGTAGAGTCAAAGCTCTCGCTACTTGCATTGAGCACTTAGTCCTTGTTGCTGTATTTTACATTCCTTTATTTACAATTTTCTTAATTGGGCTTTATGTGCGATCCATTGACCCAGACCAGCGTGTGCTGAGTCTGTCTCTGGCCTCTTGCCTCCCACCCTGCATCAATCCTATTGTATATTCTTTGAAAACTAAAGAGATTAAAACCAGAACTCTAGCACTGGTCCACAGAATGAAAACAAGCTCTTGACAAACTTCTCTTCTATACAAAATCAATCTGTAGAAAGTGTGTGTGTGTAGTGAGACAAAAGAGGCCTTTTTTATTTTTATTTATCATCATTTAAAAGCAGCCATGTTTGCACAAATGTGTCATATTATTTATTATTCATTATTAAATAGTATGCTTTTGTTAATATTTATTTTATTTGATGTTCTGCCACTATTTAAACACTGACCAAATTCAACAAGTGAATAAAATGCATGCCCCTATTCTTATGTAATCATACACTGCTGACTTATTTATACATAAAATATACTTGGTTGTATTTTAATGTAATTGTATGATATTTGTACATTTGACTGCTCTGTCCCTTATCTGTCACACAAAACACTCCTTTATAAAACACTCCATGATTTTGTTTTACTGTATCAAAGTGAAATAAAATAATAAATAAAATAAATTGTCTGATAAAAAATAAAACAGAAGGTCTCATTATTGTGTTTACCAGCACTTGCAGAACTTTTAAGTCAGTGTATAAAGAGCTCTCAGGGGTCATCACACCACAAAGATGACAGAGCCCTCTAAATGAAAACTCAGGTTGACTTCTGTTTATTTCTCATTCTCTTAAATTATGCAGGAGAGGTGATGTGTAGAGAAATTAACTGCACAGATATCTACATGGTAATTATGTGATATCGCTTTCTAGGATGAATATTTAAGTTTTAATGAAATTTAAAAATGTATATAAAAAGGTAAAACTTAGATCATACTTCTACGGACACAGGTTGGATGAATATTATGTACTTAAAGTGGCCCACCAACTGAGAAAAATAATCTGTCAAGCTTAAAACAATGTGAAAAGTGTAGAAAAAAAGTCAAAGTTTACCATGACAAACACATATAAGTGGTGTAGTACGGAAGCCCTAAAGGGCCATGCATTCATACATTTTATTTCCTCCGTTTTCCTGTGATAACGAGATAATTTTCTCGAGATCTTCACCAATGTGAAGAAATTCCAAAACAAAAGTTCCATATTTGTATCTCCAAGAGGCATCTTTTCATATATTTGAGGTACTGTAAAAGCAGGTACAAATGTGGAATTTTATTGTTAAATTTCTCCAAATTGGTAAAAAAGTAAAAATGCTTGATATTAAGTATACTTGTATTCTTATATGTGTAGAAGTCAAATATACCATCCATAGCCAGGAATTGTTGAGCAATGTGTTTTTACAGTAGCTCAAATATGAGAAAGGATGCCACTTGGAGGTACAAATATGGAACTTTTGTTTTGGCATTTCTCCACATTGGTGCAGTAGAAATGCTTGATATTAATTAAGATATTAAGTTTTTTATTCATCATGGGCGCATGAAACACTTTAATGTAACATATTTTATTTTAAATGTAGGTTCGAATTATAGCTTACTGTTCTTAATACCTTTATTTTGAAAACTGGAAGTGAGTACACTGTAAATTTAAGTACGGCTGATTTGACCACGGAGATCGGAGTAACGGCTGGCTTGACCGCAGTTATCATATCACAGTCGTTATCTCGAGATCTCGAATTAAGTATGAATGCATGGCCCTTTAGGGCTTCCATATTTGTAAGTACTTTAAGAAGGCCTACAATTTAGAAAACAAAGCATAAGTGATGGTGATGACTCAGTGTGGCCTGTTTAATGATAAAAGCATTTTTGGGGAACATAACATGTGTTTGTCACAAACACAGTTCACATGAAAGTGTCACAACAGTATTTTTTTTGGACAGCTTTGTCACTTAGTCCTTCAGTTAATCAGAAAAAATCCAATTCAGAATCACAAAATTTGGTTTGTGGTTTTTACTGGAAAGGATGAAAAAAAAGAAAAATTGGAATCTGAAAAGTAACTGAAGTTAATATGAAGCAATATTTGCCTCTTAGAAGCATAAAGTTGAATAAAATACTCAAATAAAGTACTTCGAATATGTATTTAAATACAATACTTAAGTAAATGTACTTAGTTACTTTATCTGACGTTCAGTTGTGTTGTTGCTGTGCAGCGGAACCTTTGTGTATATCGACGGAACTGTTTTACGGTTACACTTTCGTCCTCTGCTCAAGTGTGTCCTCCACGTACCGCTGACAGCGTTGACCGTGTGTTTGGTTGTGAGAGGAGTTATAAAGGTTATGGAAACTTAATTTCGGTGTCTGAACGGACAGATTGACAGAGAATAAACAAGGTAACGTAACGGTAACGTGTTAGCAAGCTATTCTCTAACATTCTCGTACATGTTAGTTGACCCAGTATGTAACGGAGCATTAGGTACTCAGTGGTTGAGAGTGTCGGTATTTTTACTGAACTTAAGGAAGTAAACAATACAGTCATTTAATAATGATTCACTACAAGTCCTGGTTTCAAAATCGTTCTCAAATAAAAGTATTATCAGCAAAATACTCGCTGTGCAAAATGCCCCTTTAAGAGTGTTTTATATTGGGTTTTTATTATTGTTGTTGTATTGACATTGAAGAACTTAAATGTATGTTACATATACATTTTTATATAGCAGGTAAAGGAACTGGACTAGGTACATTTTCTGAAATAAAGTGGAGTGAAAGAGTAAAATGGAAATACTCAAGGCCTCAAAATTGCATTGTATATATAACTAGTATTGTGCAGTCCTCGAGTAAATCTACTTATAGACACATTTATATTTGCACAAATGAGCTACTTGATGATTTAAAACAATAAATGATTATCACAAAAGCATCAAGCACAAGTGCCTCATGAGACAGGATAGATTTACAACACACCAAAGAGGGAAAACAGGATTAAAACTGAAATGTGACGTGATAAAATGGAGCACTACTTTATTAAATGGATAAATGTTCCCCAAAAGACAGATTAAAGATGGTGAGTTAAATCACTGCAGACAGGCATGCCTAGGGAACAGCCAGATGTTCTGTGGTTGCTCCTAAAACTTTATCATCACTTGTTTATCAATAACATCATGTGTCGTCCTCAGCAGATCCACTGAGTCAACACAAACAGGATGGCGTCCCCTTCACCCCACGACCGCAGCCGTAAAGACGAGGACGAGGACGACCCTGTTGATCGGATGATATCCCGCACTGGCTGTGCCGAGCTACATTACGCCGTGCAGGAGTGCATGGCTGAACACCAGGACTGGCGAGCGTGCCAGAGCCAGGTCCAGACTTTCAAAGACTGTATGATGAATTTCCAAAATGCCCGGAAAGAACAGCTGATGAAGAGGCAGCCAACCTCCACTGAGTCTGCAGCCAGCTGAACTGACAACACATCACAAACAAGCATCACGCATCACACACACACACCCACACACACTGGGATGTGTTGAGGTGGAGAGACTGTACATTATTTAATGATTTGTAATGATAATAAACAAGAATAAGCAGCTACAAAAGAATATGTCCTGATCTTTGTGTGGTGGAGAGCCAAGGCGATTTTGGCTTTGTCTATCAGCCAATAGACATTTTGTGTCCAGACATTGGAGTACAGAAATGCCAAAGACATGTTTCAGATCATTTAGAAATAGTGTCTCTATTATATGGTTTATCCCCCAGAGAGAACTGGGAAGTTAATTTTTAAATAGTAAAATGTCCCGCTCAGGACATATGTTGGTCACAACTGCATTGTTTACAGAAAACATTTAAGGGTCCTTAATGGCTGTTTATGTTATGTTTATGATAAAAAAAATAAAACAACTATATATAATTTTATTTTAACTAAAATATTGACCTTCCTCAAAGCTCCAGTATTCTCTTTTTTTATATATAGTCACAAAACATATTTCATGAATATAAAGTAATAAATAATAATAAGTAAAACATCTAGTAAACAGATATCTTTGCATATATATATACGCCTTTTGTGTCATGGGGGCTTAATTGTGTTGGAGAGAAAAATGACAAATGACAGATCTTCACTTGAAGTGTAAATTGATGAGTGGAAAAATGTATTTAAATGATTTTAGAGTAAGGTTACAGCATAAAATGTGAAAAAAGTTAGAAAGTCTGAAAACTTTCTGAATGCACTGTATATCGCTCAGTGACTGCAGATTTAAAAAATCTGGCACACAAAAAACTCATCAGCTAAAAATGTCTGAGCAAGAAATATGAATAAACTACTAAAATGTAAAAAGCAGTAAGAATTTATAAATCTCAAGGTTCCTCATGAGGCCCAAGACATCACAACCTCTGGTAACCTAGGTTAAGACTGAATGGAAGTCAGGGACTCAGACCTTCCTACGATATTATGGACTTAATGAGGATAAGAAAATAATGTGTGCAGAATCAGTATGTTATAAGAGGATGTGGAGTGGAGAGTCAAACTGGCTTTTCTTCAGCAGTCCATTGTAGGTTAATAAGTTTACAAGGTCAAGTTTTAATTGTTAAAGTTGGTAATATGTGCAACAGAGATTAAATATTCACGTTCAAACATGTTTGTTTGTTACAGCAAAGGTCGTTAAGCAGCATTCTCTAGTGATGGCATCAACAATTTGACCAGAGTAAGCAACAACAATGCTCTTTATGAATCAAATTAATGTCATTAATGGGGGTATTGCAAAATGACTTTTACAGTATCAGCTGGAAGCTTTATCTCAAGGGATCAATGAGGATGGTATATCTTCCAGTGTACACAAGTCAGACATGCAGTCGTCTGTTTGCTGTTCGTGGATGCAGCATTAAACAGGTCTACTGCTAAACAATCTTTAACACATCAGGTAAGACACATTCACTGATTTTTGAAATGAATGAAATAAAAATATATTTTATAGACTGATTTAAATGTCATCAAACTAGCATTTAAATGATACCTGTGGTTTATAGTGTGGATAGAGGTCTGATGTACAATATGATATGATTTCCCTGTTCTCTAGACTGTCCTCCAGCACACAGACTGTGGAGTTCAACTATGTCTTTACCCAGGACTGTTTTAAACAACTCTGTCATCATTCATCCTCCAGGCTTCTATATCATCGGATTTGAGACGTTTCCCTTCATCAGTGTCTACTTCATCTTTCTAGCATTTGTTTATGTGGTTACAGTGCTGTTCAATAGTTTGGTGATCTATGTTATTGCCTTTAATCATTGTTTACACACTCCAAAATTTTTGGCTGTTATCAACCTTGCTGTAATTGATTTATTTCTTAACTCATGCACTATTCCCAGCATGATAAAGATATTTCTCGTCAAGGATAACTTCATTCCATTCAACTTATGTTTGGTACAAATGTATGTCTACTATGCTTTTGGGACTTTGGAGTCATACGCTCTTGCTATTCTTGCTTATGACCGGTTGATCGCAATATGTTTTCCTTTGCGTCATAACTCAATCAACACAATGCGGAGCATGTCCTGTATTGTCAGCGTAAGTTGGTGTTTTGCTCTGGGAGTAACAGCATTTTCAACAGGTATAATGACTCGACTGTCTTTTTGCAATTCTGTCAGAGTGTTCAGCTATTTCTGTGACTATGCTCCTGTGTTTAGACTCGCCTGTAATGATTACACATTGCAGTGGTCTGCAGCTTCTTTCCTTAGTGTTTTGCTCCTCGTGGGACCCTTTACCTTTATTCTCCTCTCTTATGTGAGCATCCTGGTGACTGTGTTCAGGATGAAATCATTGGACAGTCGGGTGAAAGCTTTGGCCACTTGTGTGGAGCATCTCATCCTTGTAGCCGTATTTTACATTCCTCTCATCACCATTTTTACTGTTGGGTTTTTTTGGGGTCTTATTGACCCAGACCAGCGTGTGCTGAGTCTGTCTCTGGCCTCTTGCCTCCCACCCTGTATCAATCCAATTGTATATTCTTTGAAAACCAAAGAGATCAGAATTAGAGCCATGGCACTGGTAAGAAAAACTAAAATTGACACACAACAAACAAACCAACAAAAAAGGGTTAATAGAACACATAAATAATTTAGGACCAATATGTTTGTGCAGTGAGTAAAGAGTCTGAACTGTGTGCCATGATAATAATGTCTGTTAGCAGAAAAGTCCCTAATGAGTCACCACCAGCGGGGTTTAACCACTTTTTTTTTACCTTTTTCTTTTTCTTTTTCTTTTTTTTTTTTTTACAGCTATTAAGTTTATTTCTTCATTAAAGTGAAAAGCCTGGTAAAAAACAAATGTCTTCACTTTAGCCTTTAAATAGTTCTGACTTTCCTGATACAGGCCTGAAACTCTTTATTGCACTTTGCTTCGCACTTCTTTTAAAATGTTGTGTTTTGCTTTATTTTTTGCATTTTATGTATTCTATTTTCATCTTTATTTTATCTAAGTTTTCTATATTATTAAGTGGGTTTTATTTTCCATCTTATTTAACATAAATTATGGCATTCTAGCCCTGTTTTTATGCTCATGCTATGTCTTTTTTTTTCATGTGTAGCACTCTGTGCATGTCATTTCTTTGTTGTAAGGCATTTTAAGCTGCATTTCTTGTACGAAAGGTGCTATACAAATAAAGTTATTATTAATATTACATTTATTATGATTATCCTGTTCATTCTGGGCCAATGTGAACTACACAATCCTTCATCTTTTAGTTCATCAATGATACTTTACCACCGTTCGCACCACAGCAACCTATGTGTTCTGCCCTTTTTTGTCTGACCACTTTGTTTTGGCTCACCATGGCCTGTTCAATGATAAATGTATCATCAGGGAACACTATGCACTAGACAAGTCATCATATAGTTTACTTTGTGCGTACAAAGTTCACAAAATGTTTTTAACTTCTGATTGCTTTATTCTGAATCTGCTGAATGTTCCGGAAATGTACATTTAAATACAGATAAATTAGCAACATGATTACACAATAATGATAATGAAATCATATTTACACCTCCTCTGAGTTTCATGCTCATCCAAGCAGAAGAGTCCAAATCAATCTGTGATTAAACTGTGGATGCTCCTGATTTTTTCGTCTAGTCACAAGAGATCTGTATATTTTTCAGTTCGAGTAAGTTACATGAGTTCATGTTACACCATTACAAAGAGGTAAAGATCACAGCCACAGCCACAAATGCAAGTAGTTGGCATACCTTAATGCAATTCTCTAAAACTTGTATAATACCTGATGACTGCAATGCCCGATTTAACTGTCACAACAACATTATTTATATATTATAACATTTAAAGGGAGTGGTGAGATAATGAAACTCATTAAATCAAAGCTCAGAATAAGCAACAACCCTGTCCTGCTCTCTGTGGATCAAATATAAAGGAGCAAGTAGTATTATTAAGTAAAACAAATCTAGTGAACAGATATCATACACATCATTTGTGTGTGTTATGGGGGCTTAATTGTGTCAGTGAGGTGTATTTGATTAACAGTTAAAATTAACTACTTAAAACAGAAGCAGATAACTGATCTCAAAGGAATAACAGTCAATTGAGACAGAGGACAGTTGGCAGAGTCTGGAGTCAAACTGGCTTTTCATTTGAAGTCCATCATAGGTTAATAAGTTTACAAGTCAAGTTTTAATTGTTAAAGTTGTTAATATGTGCAACAGAGATTAATTATTCTCAAATTTAAATGGTAAAATGTTTGTTTGTCACAGTAAAGGTCATTAAGCAGCATTCTCCAGTGATGGCGTCACAAATTGGACCCAGTTGAACCACAGTCTGTGATTAATGTAACTTTAGGGAACACTGTTTGCTCACTTAGTATAAAAAAAACATAAAACATTTAGCAAGTTCATCTACTCTTTATATACTGTGTAGTGTATATCAGTATATCTAAGTCAGGGCCATTTATTCAATAATGATTCTATACAAATCTCTGCCTCCTCTGAGTTACTTACTAACAGAACAGTTGCTACACCCCGTCTGCTGTCACAAGAGGTCACTGAGGCATGAAGAAAGTTATAATTACCAGTTTTTCATTGAGCTTTTGTCAACAACTGTTCAACTTGATTTATTTTGGAAATTTCCATGTATCCATGTTTTACAAAGGAGTGTTGTGAGAATGAATGAATGAATCAAATCAATGTCATTAATGGGGGTATTTGCAAAATGACTTTTACAGTATCAGCTGGAAGCTTTATCTCAAGGGATCAATGAGGAAGGTTTATCTTCCAGTGTACACAAGTCAGACATGCAGTCGTCTGTTTGCTGTTCGTGGATGCAGCATTAAACAGGTCTACTGCTAAACAATCTTTAACACATCAGGTAAGACACATTCACTGATTTTTGAAATGAATGAAATGAAAATATATTTTATAGACTGATTTAAAAGTCATCAAACTAGCATGTAAATGATACCTGTGGTTTATAGTGTGGATAGAGGTCTGATGTACAATATGATATGATTTCCCTGTTCTCTAGACTGGAGAGCTTTTAAGCAGAGGCTGTCCTCCAGCACACAGGCTGTGGAGTTCAACTATGTCTTTACCCAGGACTGTTTTAAACAACTCTGTCATCATTCATCCTCCAGGCTTCTATATCATCGGATTTGAGACGTTTCCCTTCATCAGTGTCTACTTCATCTTTCTAGCATTTGTTTATGTGGTTACAGTGCTGTTCAATAGTTTGGTGATCTATGTTATTGCCTTTAATCATTGTTTACACACTCCAAAATTTTTGGCTGTTATCAACCTCGCAGTAATTGATCTTATCTTAAACACAAGCACTATCCCCAGCATGATTAAGACATTTCTTTTTATGGACAATTTCATTCCATTCAACCTATGTCTGTTACAAATGTTTGTCTACTACACTGTTATACCTCTGGAGTCATACGCTCTTGCTATTCTTGCTTATGACCGGTTGATCGCAATATGTTTTCCTCTGCGTCAGAACTCAATCAACACAATGCGGAGCATGTCCTGTATTGTCAGCGTGAGTTGGTGTTTTGCTCTGGGAGTAACAGCATTTTCAACAGGTATAATGACTCGACTGTCTTTTTGCAATTCTGTCAGAGTGTTCAGCTATTTCTGTGACTATGCTCCTGTGTTTAGACTCGCCTGTAATGATTACACATTGCAGTGGTCTACAGCTTCTTTCCTTAGTGTTTTGCTCCTCGTGGGACCCTTTACCTTTACTCTCCTCTCTTATGTGAGCATCCTGGTGACTGTGTTCAGGATGAAATCATTGGACAGTCGGGTGAAAGCTTTGGCCACTTGTGTGGAGCATCTCATCCTTGTAGCCGTATTTTACATTCCTCTCATCACCATTTTTACTGTTGGGTTTTTTCGGGGTCTTATTGACCCAGACCAGCGTGTGCTGAGTCTGTCTCTGGCCTCTTGCCTCCCACCCTGTATCAATCCTATTGTATATTCTTTGAAAACCAAAGAGATCAAAACCAGAGCTCTGGCACTGGTAACAAAAAATAAAGTTGGCACACATCAAACACAACAACAAAAAAGGGTTGATAAAACACCAAGAGTCTGAACTGTGTGCCATCTTAATAATGTCTGTTAGCAGAAAAGTCCCCAATGAGTCACCACCAATGGGGTTTAACCACAAGGTCATCAGTGTAAAGAAGACTATGAACAGGGTACTGTACTTCAAACCTATTAATGTGAATGTGATTTTATTAAAGTCGCATTATGTGTAATACACTAATGCATGTCCATCGTTTTGGTCGTAGTGAGCCAATTGATCACTCAAGTCCTTAAACTTCATAAACAAAAAAAAAATGGACACTATCATTTTACCACCTTTATGCAATATCTTCTGTAGCTGTAGTGCATAGGTGTTGAAAAAAAAGTGTCTGGTTTTGTACATATCTGCCTTTTTTCTTTTTTTTTTTTTTTTTTACAGCTATAAGCTTATTTCTTCATTCAATTCAATTCAATTTTATTTGTATAGCGCCAGTTCATAACAGAAGTTATCTCAGGACACTTTCCAAATAGAGCAGGTGTAGACCGAACTCATTATAACATTATTTACAGAGACCCAACAGTACCACCATGAGCGAGCACTCGTCGACAAGGGCAAGGAAAAACTGCCTGTTAAAAGGCAGAAACCTAGGACAGATCCTTCGGCTCTAGGTGGGTGGCCGTCTGTCTCGACCAGTTGGGGTGAAAGAGAGAGAGAGAGAGAGAGAGAGAGAGAGAGAGAGAGAGAGAGAGACAGATAGACAGGCAGACAGGTGCACAGCAACAACAGTAGCAATAACTACACTAATAGTAGTGACTGATGATGATAAACATGACAGCAGCAACGATGGGGGACAATGAGCAGTGACAACAGCAACAACAGTAACCATAGCTATAATAATACTTTATAATAATAAATCATTAAAGTGAAAAGCTTGGTTGAAAAACAAATGTCTTCACTTTAGCCTTTAAATAGTTCTGACTTTCCTGATACAGGCCTGAAACTCTTTATTGCACCTTGCTTCGCACTTCTTTTAAAATGTTGTGTTTTGCTTTATTTTATGCATTTTATGTATTCTATTTTCATCTTTATTTTTATCTAAGTTTTCTATATTATTAAGTGGGTTTTATTTTCCATCTTATTTAACATAAATTATGGCATTCTAGCCCTGTTTTTATGCTCATGCTATGTCTTTTTTTTCATGTGTAGCACTCTGTGCATGTCATTTCTTTGTTGTAAGGCACTTTAAGCTGCATTTCTTGTACGAAAGGTGCTATACAAATAAAGTTATTATTAATATTACATTTATTATGAATATCCTGTTCATTCTGGGCCAATGTGAACTACACAATCCTTCATCTTTTAGTTCATCAATGATACTTTACCACCGTTTGCACCACAGCAACCTATGTGTTCTGCCCTTTTTTGTCTGACCACTTTGTTTTGGCTCACCATGGCCTGTTCAATGATAAATGTATCATCAGGGAACATTATGCACTAGACAAGTCATCATATAGTTTACTTTGTGCGTACAAAGTTCACAAAATGTTTTTTACTTCTGATTGCTTTATTCCGAATCTGCTGAATGTTCCGGAAATGTACATTTAAATACAGATAAATTAGCAACATGATTAAACAATAATGATAATTAAATCATATTCACACCTCCTCTGAGTTTCATGCTCATCCAAGCAGAAGAGTCCAAATCAATCTGTGATTAAACTGTGGATGGTCCAGATTTCTTCATCTAGTCACAAGAGATCTGTATATTTTTGAGTTCGAGTAAGTTACATGAGTTCATGTTACACCATTACAAAGAGGTAAAGATCACAGCCACAGCCACAAATGCAAGTAGTTGGCATACCTTAATGCAATTCTCTAAAACTTGTATAATACCTGATGATTGCAATGCCCGATTTAACTGTCACAGCAACATTATGTATATATTATAACATTTAAAGGGAGTGGTGAGATAATGAAACTCATTAAATCAAAGCTCAGAATAAGCAACAACCTTGTCCTGCTCTCTGTGGATCAAATATAAAGGAGCAAGTAGTATTATTAAGTAAAACAAATCTAGTGAACAGATATCATACACATCATTTGTGTGTGTTATGGGGGCTTAATTGTGTCAGTGAGGTGTATTTGATTAACAATTAAAATTAACTACTTAAAACAGAAGCAGATAACTGATCTCAAAGGAATAACAGTCAATTGAGACAGAAGACAGTTGGCAGAGTCTGGAGTCAAACTGGCTTTTCATTTGAAGTCCATCATAGGTTAGTAAGTTTACAAGTCAAGTTTTAATTGTCAAAGTTGTTAATATGTGCAACAGAGATTAATTATTCTCAAATTTAAATGGTAAAATGTTTGTTTGTCACAGCAAAGGTCATTAAGCAGCATTCTCCAGTGATGGCGTCACAAATTGGACCCAGTTGAACCACAGTCTGTGATTAATGTAACTTTAGGGAACACTGTTTGCTCACTTAGTATAAAAAAACATAAAACATTTAGCAAGTTCATCTACTCTTTATATACTGTGTAGTGTATATCAGTATATCTAAGTCAGGGCCATTTATTCAATAATGATTCTATACAAATCTCTGCCTCCTCTGAGTTACTTACTAACAGAACAGTTGTTACACCCCGTCTGCTGTCACAAGAGGTCACTGAGGCATGAAGAAAGTTATAATTACCAGTTTTTCATCGAGCTTTTGTCAACAACTGTTCAACTTGATTTATTTTGGAAATTTCCATGTATCCATGTTTTACAAAGGAGTGTTGTAAGAATGAATGAATGAATCAAATCAATGTCATTAATGGGGGTATTTGCAAAATGACTTTTACAGTATCAGCTGGAAGCTTTATCTCAAGGGATCAATGAGGAAGGTTTATCTTCCAGTGTACACAAGTCAGACATGCAGTCGTCTGTTTGCTGTTCGTGGATGCAGCATTAAACAGGTCTACTGCTAAACAATCTTTAACACATCAGGTAAGACACATTCACTGATTTTTGAAATGAATGAAATGAAAATATATTTTATAGACTGATTTAAAAGTCATCAAACTAGCATGTAAACGATACCTGTGATTTATAGTGTGGATAGAGGTCTGATGTACAATATGATATGATTTCCCTGTTCTCTAGACTGTCCTCCAGCACACAGGCTGTGGAGTTCAACTATGTCTTTACCCAGGACTGTTTTAAACAACTCTGTCATCATTCATCCTCCAGGCTTCTATATCATCGGATTTGAGACGTTTCCCTTCATCAGTGTCTACTTCATCTTTCTAGCATTTGTTTATGTGGTTACAGTGCTGTTCAATAGTTTGGTGATCTATGTTATTGCCTTTAATCATTGTTTACACACTCCAAAATTTTTGGCTGTTATCAACCTCGCAGTAATTGATCTTATCTTAAACACAAGCACTATCCCCAGCATGATTAAGACATTTCTTTTTATGGACAATTTCATTCCATTCAACCTATGTCTGTTACAAATGTTTGTCTACTACACTGTTATACCTCTGGAGTCATACGCTCTTGCTATTCTTGCTTATGACCGGTTGATCGCAATATGTTTCCCTCTGCGTCAGAACTCAATCAACACAATGCGGAGCATGTCCTGTATTGTTGGCCTGACTTCGATTTATTGTCTGGGAGTAACAGCATTTTCAACAGGTATAATGACTCGACTGTCTTTTTGCAATTCTGTCAGAGTGTTCAGCTATTTCTGTGACTATGCTCCTGTTTTTAGACTTGCCTGTAATGATTACACATTGCAGTGGTCTATGGCTTCAACTTGTAGTATGGTGAATCTGATGGGCCCCTTTTCTTTCATTCTCCTCTCTTATGTGAGCATCCTGGTGACTGTGTTCAGGATGAAATCAGTAAGCAGTAGACTCAAAGCTCTCGCTACTTGCATTGAGCACTTAGTCCTTGTTGCTGTATTTTACATTCCTATATTCACTATTTTTTTAGTCGGGCTTTATGTGCGATCCATCGACCCAGACCAGCGTGTGCTGAGTCTGTCTCTGGCCTCTTGCCTCCCACCCTGCATCAATCCAATTGTATATTCTTTGAAAACCAAAGAAATCAAAACCAGAGCTCTGGCACTGGTAACAAAAAATAAAGTTGGCACACATCAAACACACCAACAAAAAAGGGTTGATAAAACACCAAGAGTCTGAACTGTGTGCCATCTTAATAAAGTCTGTTAGCAGAAAAGTCCCAAATGAGTCAACACCAGTTGGGTTTAACCACAAGGTCATCAGTGTAAAGAAGACTATGAACAGGGTACTGTACCGCAAACCCTTTAATGTGAATGTGATTTAATGAAAATTGTATTATGTGTAATATACTAATGCATGTCCATCGTTCAGTCGTAGTAAACCAATTGATCACTCAAGTCCTTAAACATATAAAAGTACAATTGGACACTATCATTTTACAACCTTCATGTAACTTCTACTCTAGCTGTACTCCATAGGTGTTGACAAATAATGTGTCTTTTGTTTTTTACAGACATTAGATTTATTATGAATATCCTGTTAATTCTGGGCCAGTGTGATATCAGTACATAAACTCCCTAATCATATATACATATATATCTCATATATCCAAACGTGCATGGTTTGTAAAGATTTCCATTTATGTTTTTGAAGAAAAAGACTGAGAAGATGACAAATCAAATCTAATGCAACATAGAACCTACTAAGATGTAGGTGTAACATTATGATGAGATTTAATTATAACAATTCATATTAAAAAACTTAATTTCTTAAATTTGAAGATACTTTAGTAAGTAAGGTTATGTTTGTCTGATGAGACGTTTCACTGATGAAAACAATAAAGTGATCACTCTGGTGGGGCGTGTAGGGCTAGAATCAGATCAAAGCATCATCCACAAGAACCACTTTCAGAGCAAATGATGACATATACGCAAACATCCCATAAAGATGTGTGTCCAGACCTGAGGTTTTTTCATACCAACATTAAAGCTTTTGTCATCTATTTTTAATAGATGTTACAGTGACATGGACTGTAAAAAGTTTTCGCAATAGGCTGAAATGTTTGATTAATATGATTTATCCTTCACCTGCATTAAATGTATGAACCCTTCAATCTGTGTGTGCTTTATGTCCGTTTGAAGAACAGATTTTATTGACTTGATCACATTTAAGTGGCTTCACCACAGTAATTTTAGCGCTAGTGTTTAGGGAATCCAGTGAACCCAGTGTTTGCTTTTATTGGATAAACCAAATTAGAACTAACACTTTCCTTGCTGGCGACACAGCCTGCTTAGGAGATAATCCCAAAGTCTGAGGCTTTACATTTCTCCTTAGCCATTGTTTTTATATCCAGCGATCCTCACTGTGTCAAGATTTGAATAAAAGTTTACAAGTTAAAAATGCAGTAATTTTAGTTTTCAGCCCAACAGAAGCAGATAACAGACCATGAAGGAGGCTCATTCAATTTTAGAGAAATGACAAATGCTGTTGAAATTGGGATTCACCGACTTAATGTCAATATCAGCAAACCCCAGTGAGTGCTGGCATGTGCCCTATGGCCCTATAAAGAATCGACTGCATAAAAGATAATGTTTCAGAGGACCAAAATGTACAGTTTTGAGATTTTATTTATTTAACCACTGTCACAAAACTGTGAGCTGCAGCTGCAAAAAATCTATGCTTTACCATGAACATGAAACATAAAAATCGTTTCATTTGCTGTATCACTGAGAGCTAAACAAAATATTACTAATAAGAATTTTAATGACATGAAAACTATACATTTAACTCTAGCTGTCCTAGTCCTAGTCATAAATGCAAGAAGTGCCTGACAAGGCCAGTAATATGGCCAATGGTAACCGATGATATCTTGAGCTTAAACAATGAAGGAAATCTAGGGATTGTAAGATCTTTAAGAAAGAAGGTGGCATGGTGAAAGTCCAAGTCCCTTCTCTTGCTGCCCTTGGAAAGTAGTTGTACTTTCCCTCTATTGCTTTTATTCTTAATAGGTGCAACTGGGATTAATTAGTCTGAAGTTTAAACAGTTAAAGCTTTGTTTGTTAAAGTCAAGGTCATTAACCAAAGTTCTCTGGTGATGGCATCACAAACTGGGCTCATTATAACTGCATCCTCAGGGATCATACAAACAGTAAACAATACTAAACAATCATATTGTTTACTTTGTGCATACAAAGTTCACACAACGGTTAGTAATTTCGGACTATTTTATAAAGAATGTGTCGGAAAATTGAATGTATAATACATCTAAATACACAACATGATTACACAATAATAATAATAATGAAATAATATGAGTTTCATGCGACCAAACAGAAATCCAGTGTCCAAAGTCTAGAGTCCAAATCAATCAGTGGTTAAACTGTGGATGGTCCTGATTCCTTCATCTAGTCACAAGAGGTCATAGAGTTCATTCACATCAGTGTTGGGGCGATGTAGTTCTCATGGACTGAACTCTGATTTATGCAGCACTTTGGATGAACAAGGTTAACTGGATCACAGAGGTGATCCTCTGTGATCCTGTTTCAGTAGAATCAAACCTGATCATTAATCAGTCAATTTTTCAGTTTGAGTTAGTTACATGTGAAGGGTATAGAAGTGGCCATCATTACATACAGGTAAAGATGACATGGCACAGCCACAAATGTTGGCATAGTTGGCTTACCTTAATACAATTATCTAATACTTGTACAAAACTCGCCTATTAGCCTGCCTCTTTTAACTGTCACAGCAACATTAAATCCATATCATGACTGATTTTATTGTATGCTATTTTGCTCTGATGAGATTACAAGTACAGTATCCCAGCCTTTAGAAGGATTGGTATGATAATTAATCTCATTAAATCATAATTCAAAATAAGCTTTAGTCCTGCTCTCCATGGATCAATTCAATTTCATTCAAAGGTTTTGACTTTCTCATAATGAACCGGAAGCTTTATCTCTGGAGATTGATGATGAGAGTATATATTTCATTGTCAAAGAGTCAGACATGTGGCCAACTGCATGGTGCTATTGGAGTCAGCAACAAAGAGAGTTAGTGTTGAACCAGGTAATCATTCTTCATTTACTGAATTTAAGCACAGTTCTGCATGTTTAAACTTACTGAGAATGTATTTTAAATACTGTTTGGTTTTAATGTAATTATTGCAATTGCATGGATAGGATGCTTATACAGCCCTTAAAGATCAATGTATATAATATGATATGATTTCCCTGTTCTTTAGACTGGAGAGCTTTTCAGCAGAGGCTGTCCTCCAGCACACAGACTGTGGAGTTCAACTATGTCTTTACCCAGGACTGTTTTAAATAACTCTGTCATCATTCATCCTCCAGGCTTCTATATCATCGGATTTGAGACGTTTCCCTCCATCAGTGTCTACTTCATCTTTCTAGCATTTGTTTATGTGGTTACAGTGCTGTTCAATAGTTTGGTGATCTATGTTATTGCCTTTAATCATTGTTTACACACTCCAAAATTTTTGGCTGTGGGCAACCTTGCTGTAATTGATTTATTCCTTAACTCATGCACTATTCCCAGCATGATAAAGATATTTCTCGTTAAGGATAACTTCATTCCATTCAACTTATGTTTGGTACAGATGTTTGTCTACTATGCTTTTGGGACTTTGGAGTCATACGCACTTGCTATTCTTGCTTATGACCGGTTGATCGCAATATGTTTCCCTTTGCGTCATAACTCAATCAACACAATGCGGAGCATGTCCTGTGTTATCAGCGTGAGTTGGTGTTTTGCTCTGGGAATTATTGCATTTTCAACAGGTATAATGACTCAACTGTCTTTTTGCAATTCTGTCAGAGTGTTCAGCTATTTCTGTGACTATGCTCCTGTTTTTAGACTCGCCTGTAATGATTACACAATGCAGTGGTCTGTGGCCTCTTTGCTTACTTTCTTGCTCCTCGTGGGACCCTTTACCTTTATTCTCCTCTCTTATGTGAGCATCCTGGTGACTGTGTTCAGGATGAAATCATTGGACAGTCGGGTGAAAGCTCTGGCCACTTGTGTGGAGCATCTCATCCTTGTAGCCGTATTTTACATTCCTCTCATCACCATTTTTACTGTCGGGTTTTATCTGCGTCTTATTGACCCAGACCAGCGTGTGCTGAGTCTGTCTCTGGCCTCTTGCCTCCCACCCTGCATCAATCCTATCGTATATTCTTTGAAAACCAAAGAAATCAAAATCAGAGCCCTAGCACTGGTAAGAAAACCTAAAATTGATACACAACAAATAGGCCAATCAAAAAGGGTTAAAAAAACCCATAAATAATTTAGGACCAATATGTTTGTGCAGTGAGTAAAGAGTCTGAACTGTGTGTTAACTAAAACATTGGAGAACTGATAAAATGACCAATGAATGAAACAATTATTTACTTTAGGAAAGGAAAAGCCTGGTAAAAAAAAAATTAAACTGGCACACAGCACTGACGTTTCAAACTTGATCAATTTATTTTCTGCCTTTCTATGGTTTTGTTAAATCCAATATTTCTGAATACAATGGCCTAAGATATAAATCAATTGTTACTTTACAGCTTGTTTTTGCCTTTTAAAGATTTCAGGGTGAAGTTTAAACAGTAAAGGTTTATTTGTTATGCTTTATTGTGGCATGTTTATTAACAAATCAATGGGAACAAACAATGCAAAATACTTAAAGTTATCGCACTGCAATGTTTATTCACTTTCTACAATTTGTTTAAATGTAATGTGATGTGTAAATTATTCAAGTTTTATAGTGTGCCATGCCTCATGAAAGTGTTAAGTTATACTGTATTCATATACATCTAATGCAGGGACATAATTATGGAACAACAATCTCTGTACAAATCTCTTCATGCAACCAGTCTTTGCAATTTGATTATTCCTGGGAACTAACTGTTAAAGCAGATGTTACACTGAAAAAGCAATTAGTGTTGTCTCTGATTTATGCAACACTTTGGATGATGTTAATTCAATCACAGGGCTCTGAGCAGGTAAGATTTTCTGACTTACGAAAAGCTGGTTGAATGTCTTGGCCAAACTCAGGAATTAAACGCCCTTTTGAAAAAAGTAAATTATTCAATTACATAGCCGAGGTTGCAGACAGTTTCACATCTTTTTTTTTTTTAAATCAGACTTACATTTATAATGAACACCCTAAAACTGATCATTCTGTGGTCTAAGCACACACACTGGGAAAATACACTCCTCTGGTCCTTGTGCCCCCACTGCAGATTGCGTGAGCAGCCAAACATTACTGTAGATTTGTGCTCTTGTGCAGCAGTACAGCTGTGTCCCCTGGTTTGTCCATTCTATGTGACATGTTTCCAATTATTTTGTGTACTTTGAAAATGTCAGGTGTGGAAAAAATATAATAAAACTTGTGATATGTAACTTTCATGCAACCCTTCTTTTTAAATTCATCATTTCCAAATTTAAATACATCTGAATTGCTTAAAAGTGTGAAGAAAAGGTCTGTTATTTTTACATGTTACATGTATTTACTTTTGTTAGACAAATAAAAATCTGAAAATGATGGCCTATTCAACCATAACCGACTCTTTAAACTGTTTTCTAAACCCTGGTTTCTTGTAGGTTGAGTATTATATTTATATTTATATATAAATTATTATATTTATATTATTTCTACCGACATCATACCAAGATGAACATTGGTCACATAGCAGGGTGATTATTGGAGCAATTTACCACATAAATATAAATATTTTAATATAGCACAAATCACCAGATTCATACTAATATTGGTTGTCTCAGATAACAGATTATCAGATAATCTCAGATAACAAACGTTTTAACTTATTTCTGATCTACTGCATATAACTCACAGCATTATAAAATCTAATTGATATGGTATGAAATAAACATTTATGTCAAGTATATTTAAAGTATGCTCTTTGGAATAGTGTGACATGATGCAGTATATAACTCTGTCGCATCTTGACAAGTGATGTGCTTAATGATATCTTGTATGTACTTCAGCCTGTCCATAATAGAGAACGCAGATGACAGTATGGTAATATGATGAGTGTCTGCCCTCTAGTGGGTTTATGTGTACAGTGCAAGCTGTGCCATGAATTAATCTACAGCAACTACATTAACAATAAGAAATGTCAATAGCTGAATAATAAGTTTTATTCATTAATTTTCTTCCTTGACATTGTATAGCTGTTTTATCCCTGTCAGTTCCACTGACTACCAATGGATATATGGAGCTGTCCGTCAGTCTATTCCTATGTAATTAACATACTTATATTTCATACTTACACATATTTGTTTTTTGTCCTCTGCCCAGTTACGTGCTTCAAGAAATGACAATACAATCACTGATAGGTAGCTTGTTTGAACATTAAAGATACTTATATTATATTATATATTTTGTGTGCTAGATGGACAATTTGACCTGGGAGAATAAAAAGGCAGGGTCGAGGAACATTTGGGATATCAAGCACCACGTCCATTTATGCTAAAATTCTCCAACATGAGAGTTTTCTGTTTTTCTCTGTTTTATATCAAAACATGCAGTTTTTTGTGCGCAGTTCAAGAGTATGTGCTTACTTCTGTTTGACAGATTTCATTACACTTTAAAGGTACAGTATAGACCCAACATTTCCTTCCAGCTCACTGTTAATGTTATGAAACTCAACTGTGAACTGTGGGAGTAAAAAACAGCACTTCACTGGGAAGAGAAGAGAGTTCAGTTGGTTAGGCTAAAAAAGTGACATGGTAGCCACTGTGATTCAGCAACTCATCGTGCCTGCTTTGGTGTATGTTTCGACTATAATCCACTACTACTGTAGAGTACAAGCACAAACCACTAGATGGTGTAGACATATTTCTTCTTCAGTCTGTTGCCTCTTAAGACTGTTTACATCAGGTCAACTTATCAGTGAATATTTTACCAAGCTTAAACCTTCTAACAACACAGCATGTATGAATATGTTAACTTCTTCCAACCCACTGCCAGATTTTTAATGGAGGTGAATGTAACATAAAAGTGTTGTGTGACTGCCACCTTCAAAACAGTTGCGCCTTTACCTCCACAGAGCAAATAACAGACACAATAAGTACAGGTAAAGGTAAGATAAGTTAAAAAAAAATTATATGCATGTGCTGGGAAATAAAAGTGCCAAAAAAGCAGAGCAGTAGAATATAGAAACATATCAGAAGAGCTAATTAAAATAGACAGAAACATTGATGGGGGGATTGATATTTGGTGAGGCAAGCATTCATCTCTGTATGAGACTTTTACATGCTTAATCTTTTGACACTGTATGACATATATTATCTACAAAGTCTATAGAGAACAGAGTTGCAGATAATTCCCAAATAATTATTTCCACCAGTGTACAGTCAGGTCGAGTCATGTTTATTTACATAACACACTTCATACGACAATCTACTTCAAAATAAGAAAATAAAAAACAAAAACTATGTAATTCATACATGAGAAAAACATAAAAACATGTAAGATACCCTTAACAATAAATAAGGTTTCACAATAAAAAGGGAATAAGATAAGAAAGTATTATTATTATTAATAAAATATAATAATAATAATACTGATTCTAATATAAATTGGGTTTACCGTTTTACCACTTTTACCATTTAAATCATTATTAAAAGCTTGAGAAAAAATATATATGTATTTAGTATTTTACTTTTTAAAGAAACTTGTAGCAGACCTTAGTCCATGTGTTAGAGAACCACAGATGCCATGAACAGATTTACAATTTATTACAGGTATAGAAGGAGACCTGTCCTTAAGGGATCTGTTGGCCGATTAGTGAGCATATTACAACAATGTGGGAAGGAGCTAAGCCATTCATAGATTTACAATCATGTATTTTAAAATAAATTATTTGTTTAAAAACCAATTCACTACATATGGAAATCTTTTATTTACAGGATATCATTTTATGGCTAATGCAATACAATGAAACAATTTACTTATTTAGAAAAATATTGTAAATAACAATTATGACACGATAGTCATTTACAAATTAAATTGAGGTACTTAATAAGTTGTTAATTGCAAAAAGTTACAAGCGTTTATGTAACACTCCCTAATGTGTTAATAGAGCAGAGATAAAGTGTTTACGTTTTTGGACGTTTTGTTGCTAATCTTATTTATGTTACAAAGCTTCCTGATAGAGTTCAGCACTTCTTCTGTCTTTAAAGAGTAGATAATAGGATTGAGTAAAGCTGGTATGGTGTGTGTCAAAGTAGAGTTTATGATCCTGGCATTAGGGTGGATTTGGGAGGACACTGTTGCTATGTTGGTTCCCACAATTGGTAGGAAGAAAACAGCCACAAGAATCAAGTGACAAGTACAAGTTTTCATAGCTTTAAGTCGTTCCTCTCCTGATGCAATCCTGCTCAGTTCTATGGAAATGCAAACATATGTTAATGCTATCAATACAAGAGGAATACAGAGGATTACAATAAAAGCAACATATCCCATTATGTAATTCAAAGACGTGTCATTACAGGCCAGACGAAATATTGGTCCATGATCACAGTAAAAGCTTTTTACCACCAAAGAGCTACAGAAGGAGAGGCGATCAATAAGCCCAACCATGCACCCAATTACACTTAATACGAAAACCCACACAGAAAACAGCATTGCAGCAATAGCTGGTTTAGTCACAATACTATGGTACCTTAAAGGGAAGCAAATGGCTATAAATCGGTCATATGACATTGTGACAAGTGTCCATGACTGCACACTTCCAAAGAATAAAACAAAGAACATATAACTTATGCAAGCCTCATAGAAAATGTATCTCCTGTCAAACAAAAATGTGTCTAAGAGTTTTGGGATGAGAGCTGTGCTCCCACACAAATCTGTCAAAGCCAGGTTAAACACAATCATGTATTTAGGAGTATGGAGAGTCTTGACCAGGTAAATAACTGAGATAAGGAAGCCATTTCCAAGAACAGTCATGATATAAACAAAGCACAGGAACACATAGAAATACTTAACATGAGGGATGTTGGAAAACCCACTGATATAGAATTTTACAGGGTGAACAAATGTGGTATTAAATATTACAGCAGCTTTCTCTTCTGGACCCATTATGGATATATGTTTCCCTAAATGTAAAAACAGAAAATGAAAGAATAAATAATAAAGTATGACACAGTGGATTGATATGAACCGTTGTAACTAAATTCACCTCAGACAGCTTTAAGTGTGCAGTGCACTAAAGTAGAGTTGTACTGTGAGAGCCCTGACATTTATATTTTACCCTTTTCATCATGGGACAGTAGAAATGCAGGTGACTATATCAGGTGGTCATGTCATGGTGGATATCAATGTATTTCAATGTGTACCTGTGTCATGACACATTCAAAACAGGATACAATTACACTGAATGGCAGAAAATTTAAGTTATAATTCATTATTTAAAGGAAAGAATTAAAAAAAAACAAGTAACCAGTAATCTCAGGTAAAATGGTATGGTATTTCTAATGTGCCTCCAAAGGATCTTTCAAAACAGAAAATTACAAAAACAAAAAATTACTGGGCATATTTGCTTGAAAAGTAACTAAAACAATTTATCTGTTATCAAAATGCTAACAACTAAACAACTTGCTTTTAAAAAAATGCTTTTCTGTTGATCTACTTGTTAATTAATCCACTATTCAATGTGATTCTAATCAAAACAAAGATAAGACTCAAAGTCGGGATTCTAATGTATATTTAGATTTATCAAATTTCTCTGTATGACAGCTCCAACCAACCATCCAAATGTTGTACTGCACCTTTTTCTGAATAAGTATTACCTTCAATAGTGTACAGTCACAACAAGTAATGACATAATCCCTGATTTCGTATTAGATGGGAGATCATTACCCCATATTGCTAGTAATATATAATGTAACCATTTTATTTTGTCTTGTTATTGAAACAAAATACAGTAAATAACAACATACTACATGATAACCATTTCTAAAAGTACATTTTAGTGCTTATAGGTGGGAGGTCAGTCGTAAAAAGCTATTGTAAGACTCCTTAATGTGTCAGTACAGCAGTGATAAAGAGTTCTCCCCTCTGCCAGGATGCACAGATCTCATATAGCACCATACTGAAACTCACTCGGGTGTGCCAGGGTGTTCACGGCCCTATCGGTTTCCTGAATACAAAAGAAAAGTGGTTCAGGATGAAGTGAAGGCCACGTTGGAGATGGGAGTAATAAAAAAGTTAAACAGTGCCTGGTGTCGCCCATTCGCTCTTGTGTTCATGAAAGATAAATGTGCTTCTCCACTTCGTACATGTTATACCAATTTGTTGCTCTTCCGTTCGGGTTGTTTGGTGCCCTGGCTACCTTCTAGTGACTCATGGACTGTGTGCTACATCTGCACTTTGCATGTGCTGCTGCCTACTTGGATGATATTATCATTCATAGTAACAGCTCGGTGGAGGGTGAGCAGCATGTGGCAGCAGTGCTTGAGTCGCTGAGACAGGCTGGTCTAACTGCCAGGCCAAAGAAGTGTGCAGTTGGACGGAGGTAGCAGGTGCGTCCTCAGGTAGATAAGACAGCAGCAATTGCGGCTTGCCCATGACCAAAAAGACGGTGAGGCAGTTTTTGGGGCCGACTTAGGTTAGGCCGGACCCGATAAGTTGGGTGGTAGGGGTATGTGGAGGTGGATGTGCTTTACATTCAGCTGCAGGAGGGAGAGAGGTGTGGAGATGATTCGTTGAGTAATCACTCTGAAAGGATGAATATTGGCTTCTGTTGTAAAGCGGTTTTAGTGGTCAGTAGACCCAAAAGGAGATATACAAATGCAGTCCATTTACCATTTATTTACGAACTTGCACACAAAGTCTGAAGCGTTTCATTATTCTATTAATTAATTAATTAATTAATTAATTAATTAATTAATTCTATTAAAAGGGTGAACAAATGTGGTATTAAATATTACAGCAGCTTTCTCTTCTGGACCCATTATGAATATATGTTTCCCTAAATGTAAAAACAGAAAATGAAAGAATAAGTAATAAAGTATGAACAGTGGATTGATATGAACCGTTGTAACCAAACTTACCTCAGACAGCTTGAAGTGTGCAGTGCACTAAAGTGAGTTATACTGTGAGAGGCCTGGCATTTATAGTTTACCCCTTTCATCATGGGACAGTAGAAATGCAGGTGACTGTATCAGGTGGTTTTGAAGATTAATTTACTTGAATGTGTTACTACGGTGGCCGACAAGGGCAAACGCGCCGCAAACGGCAAAACACTTCAAACACAGGAATGATGCAAATCCAAAAACACAAACACATAAAACAAATGCTACAGAAAAACGCAGCAATAGAAAAATGCTGCAATCACAGAAACGAAGCAGAAGCACAAACCTATAAACCCACAAAACAAATGCCAAAGAAAAATGCTGTAAATTTCAAAAACACACAAAACAACAAAACAACTCCAAGAGAGAAACGCTGCAAATTTGCTCGACAAAACGGAAGTGCGCCAGGCCACTAGGGGGACCCGACCTGAGGAATGGACCAGTCCCGAAAGACATGAAGAAGAAGAAGAACGTTGGCTAAGTTTTGGAGAGGAGAGAAAAAGGTACGTTTTCCTTTATGTCTTTTTTAAACACCTGGCCATAATCTTTTATAATGTTATAATATTATATCATCCATCATATTAAATACTATTTAATATGATTTAATATTATAATATAATATTATAAAAATATAATATAATATATTTTTATAATCCTATAATAATTATATTATATTAAGAAGAATGTTATAATAATTATAATTATAAATATATTAAATGGGAATGGGAAGTTGCTATAAGACGGGAGGGTTTTGTTGCAACTGAGTCGTCAAAGCTCTGTAGTGGGCACTTCAAGCCTGATGATTTTAACAGGACGGGTCAGATTGTCAGGCTTAGAGATGGTGCAAAATGAATTCAACTGAACAATCAACCTTCTTTCTTTATTAAAATATAAAAATAATTCATTTATACATTTATCAATATGCCATAGCCTACCATATGTCTTTGTTAAAGAGCATAATACAAAGTCTTTTAGCATGAAAGCACGTATTTTTCAATGTGTGACAGTGCCCTGTATCATAACTAAATCTCTGCCGTTTGTAACAAACAAAACCGTGTGAAAATCCGGTAAAAATTCGGGGAGTTATGATTATTGTAGTTGGGGATACACCTTCCTCAGTAGAAATAAATGCAGGGCAGGTGCATTGGAAACCCATCCAAAATGGCTGATACGTCAGCTCCAATAGGCAGCGTCAGTCTATGAGGCGTCTATGTATATTATGTCTATGGGTCCATCCCTCAGGTCGGGTCCCCCTAGTGGCCTGGCACACTTCTGTTTTGTTGAGCAAATTTGCAGAGTTTGTATCTTGCAGTTTTTTTGGGGTTGTGTGTGTTTTTTGAAATTTGCAGCATTTATCTTTTGCATTTGTTTTGTGGGTTTGTAACTTTGTGCTTCTGCTTCGTTTCTGTGAATGAAGCATTTTTCTGTTGCTGCGTTTTTCTGTTGCATTTGTTTTATGTGTTCGTGTTTTTGGATTTGCATCATTCCTGTGTTGGAAGCGTTTTGCCGTTTGCGGCGCGTTTGCCCTTGTCGGCCACCATGTGTTACTGTCTCATAGTATCATGTAAATGGTTTGCTGATGCAATCCATTCAGTTTACTACAGATGTGCATTTCTATGCATTGACAACGACCCCATACATTAAAGATATATATGAAGCAACTACCAATGGTATGATATGATTTGATGCTGTTCAGCAGACTGCTTGAGTTAGCACCATGCATTGAAAAAGGATGGTGTACACTTCACCTAATGTCCACAGCCCAGGATTACCCTGTTGAACTATCCCACACTGGCTGTGTGGAGCTATAGATGAAGCACATCATGCTTGGTAGAAAAGAACTGCCTTTTTATGCATTGCCAGTACCTGATGTGATTATTCTACATAAAACAATATAAAGACATGGCCTAGATTTATAGGAGTGAGGGGCAGTAGATGTAACACTTTACGAATTTACAGAGCTTTAAACTTTGCAAAAATGCCACACATATGGATGCAGTTACATTTTCTGACCCTCTGTCGGGAAGTGAATGTAAGAAGTGTTGTGTGACGGCCACCTTCAAAACAGTTGTGCCTTTACCTCCACAGAGCGATATTAGCAAAGATTAGACAAAATAAGTATAGGTATGATAAGTATGTGCATGTGCAGGGAAATTAAAGTGGTTGAAAATCATGGCAGTACAATAAAGAAACATATAAAGGAATCAAGGAAATTTACTTAGAATAACATAACACAAGGTTATAGAATGAAATGAAAGTTTGCAGTTCTTTCATACACATGGAAAATTATAATTAAAATAAGATAAAACAATTTTTACATATATACATATATACATATACGTATACCAAGCATTGTTGATGTAAACACAGCGTTTCCATTCTCTCGTCCTGTGCTCTGTCGGCTCAGTCCACCCATTGAGTGCTTGATCCAGGGTGTTGATGGAGTAGGTCTCTGGAAAGATGTGAGCACAACAGTCACTGATTTCTCGTTGTTTGGTCAGTCCCATTTCACAGAGACCAAAAATTAGCATCCAATGACATCAAAAGAAAAAAAACAGATCAAAACAAAATGTATCAAGTTATATGGAGCATATACATGTGCAGCTGTTGCAATGACAGATAGTATAGATTAATTGCAATATTAATTAATAATTGTTATCTCAAGCGGTATACAGTCTGAACACCAATTCACTACTTATGAAAATCCCTAATTTAATTTTGATGGAATATCATTGCTTGCCTAACACAAAAGAATGAAACATTTCCTTTGGTCTTCTTATTTAGTAAAATACAGTAAATAATCTACTATATCATAGTCATTTTTAGTTCAACTTTAGTAAGTATTAGTAAAACACAAATATAATTTCAAGTTCCAAAACACAGTTGTTCTTATGTAACACTGTGTCAATACAGCTGTGATAAAGAGTTCACCTTTTTGGACAACTTTTTGTTGCTAATCCTATTTCTTTTACAAAGCTTCCTGATAGAGTTCAGAACTTCTTCTGTCTTTAAAGAGTAGATAATAGGATTGAGTAAAGCTGGTATGGTGTGTGTCAAAGTAGAGTTTATGATCCTGGCATTAGGGTGGATTTGGGAGGACACTGTTGCTATGTTGGTTCCCACAATTGGTAGGAAGAAAACAGCCACAAGAATCAAGTGACAAGTACAAGTTTTCATAGCTTTAAGTCGTTCCTCTCCTGATGCAATCCTGCTCAGTGCTATGGAAATGCAAACATACGTAAATGCTATCAATACAAGAGGAATACAGAGGATTAAAATAAAAGCAACATATCCCATTATGTAATTTAAAGATATGTCATTACAGGCAAGACGAACTACTGGGCCATGATCACAGTAAAAGCTCTTTACCACCAAAGAGCTACAGAAGGAGAGGCGATCAACAAGCCTTATCATGCATGCTATTGCACTCAGTAAAACAGCCAATGCAGAAAGCAACATTGCAGCAATAGCTGGTTTAGTCACAATACTATGGTACCTTAAAGGGAAGCAAATGGCTATAAATCTGTCATATGACATTGTGACTAGTGTCCATGACTGCATACTTGTAAAGAATAAAACAAAGAACATATAACTTAAGCAAGCCTCATAGACAATGTATCTCATGTCAAACAGAAATGTATTTAAGAGTTTTGGGATGAGAGCTGTGCTCCCACACAAATCTGTCAAAGCCAGGTTAAACACAATCATGTATTTAGGAGTATGGAGAGTCTTGACCAGGTAAATAACTGAGATAAGGAAGCCATTTCCAAGAACAGTCATGATATAAACAAAACACAGGAACACATAGAAATACTTAACATGAGGGATGTTGGAAAACCCACTGATATAGAATTTTTCAGGATGAAAAAATGTGGTATTAAATATTACAGCAGCTTTCTCTTCTGGACCCATTACAGATATATATTCCCCTAAATATAAAAAGAGAAAATCACACAATAAATGATAAAGAAAGACACAGTGGATTGATATGAACCATTGTAACTAAATTCACCTCAGACAGCTTTAAGTGTGCAGTGCACTAAAGTGAGTTATACTGTGAGAGGCCTGGCATTTATATTTTACCCCTTTCATCATGGGACAGTAGAAATGCAGGTGACTGTATCACATGGTTTTGAAGATTAATTTACTTGAATGTGTTACTGTCTCATAGTATCATGTAAATGATGTGCTGATGCAATCAATTCAGTTAACTACAGATGTGCATTTCCATGCATTGGCAACAACCCCATACATTAAAGATATATATGAAGCAACTACCAATGGTATGATATGATTTGATACTGTTCAGCAGACTGCTTGAGTCAGCACCATGCATTGAAAAAGGATGGTGTACACTTCACCTAATGTCCACAGCCCAGGATTACCCTGTTGAACTATCCCACACTGGCTGTGTGGAGCTATAGATGAAGCACATCATGCTTGGTAGAAAAGACTGCCTTTTTATGCATTGCCAGTACCTGATGTGATTATTCTACATAAAACAATATAAAGACATGGCCTAGATTTATAGGAGTGAGGGGCAGTAGATGTAACACTTTACGAATTTACAGAGCTTAAACTTTGCAAAAATGCCACACATATGGATGTAGTCACATTTTCTGATCCTCTGCCCGGAAGTGAATGTAATAAGTGTTGTGTGATGGCCACCTTCAAAACAGTTGTGCCTTTACCTCCACAGAGCGATATTAGCAAAGATTAGACAAAATAAGTATAGGTATGATAAGTATGTGCATGTGCAGGGAAATTAAAGTGGCAGAAAATCATGGCAGTACAATAAAGAAACATGTTAAGGAATCAAGGAAATATTTTTATCATTACATAACACAAGGTTATAGAATGAAATGAAAGTTTGCAGTTCTTTCATACACATAGAAAATGATAATTAAAATAAGATGAAACAATTTTTACATATATACATATATACATACATGTATGCACCTAGGACATAATTCTACAGTGCATCTTTTGAATTTCAGTCTGGAGGAATGTAAACAACAGCAACAACATAGTGATGATGATATGGTTTCATCATTATATAAAATGAAACAGTGTCAATCCACTTTGACTGCGATTGAACACCAAGCATTGTTGATGTAAACACAACGTTTCCATTCTCTCGTCCTGTGCTCTGTCGGCTCAGTCCACCCATTGAGTGCTTGATCCAGGGTGTTGATGGAGTAGGTCTCTGGAAAGATGTGAGCACAACAGTCTCTGATTTCTCGTTGTTTGGTCAGTCCCATTTCACAGAGACCAAAAATTAGCATTGATGATACTTTCAGCAATAACATCAAAAGAAAAAAAACTGATTAAAACAAAATGTATCAAGTTATATGGAGCATATACATGTGCAGCAGTTGCAATGACAGATAGTATAGATTAATTGCAATATTAATTAATAATTGTTATCTCAAGCGGTATACAGTCTGAACACCAATTCACTACTTATGAAAATCCCTAATTTAATTTTGATGGAATATCATTGCTTGCCTAACACAAAAGAATTAAACATTTCCTTTGGTCTTCTTATTTAGTAAAATACAGTAAATAATCTACTATATCATAGTCATTTTTAGTTCAACTTTAGTAAGTATTAGTAAAACATAAATATTATTTCAAGTTCCAAAACACAGTTGTTCTTATGTAACACTGTGTCAATACAGCTGTGATAAAGAGTTCACCTTTTTGGACAACTTTTTGTTGCTAAAACTATTTCTTTTACAAAGCTTCCTGATAGAGTTCAGCACTTCTTCTGTCTTTAAAGAGTAGATAATAGGATTGAGTAAAGCTGGTATGGTGTGTGTCAAAGCAGAGTTTATGATCCTGGCATTAGGGTGGATTTGGGAGGACACTGTTGCTATGTTAGAGCCCACAATTGGTAGGAAGAAAACAGCCACAAGAATCAAGTGACAAGTACAAGTTTTCATAGCTTTAAGTCGTTCCTCTCCTGATGCAATCCTGCTCAGTGCTATGGAAATGCAAACATATGTTAATGCTATCAATACAAGAGGAATACAGAGGATTACAATAAAAGCAACAAATCCCATTATGTAATTCAAAGACGTGTCATTACAGGCCAGACGAAATATTGGTCCATGATCACAGAAGAAGCTGTTTACCACCAAAGAGCTACAGAAGGAGAGGCGATCAATAAGCTGAACAATAAATGCTACTAGACTCAGTAAAACAGCCCATGCAGAAAACAACATTGCAGCAATTGCTGGTTTAGTCACGATACTATGGTACCTTAAAGGGAAGCAAATGGCTATAAATCTGTCATATGACATTGTGACTAGTGTCCATGACTGCACACTCCCAAAGAATAAAACAAAGAACATATAACTTATGCAAGCCTCATAGAAAATGTATCTCCTGTCAAACAAAAATGTGTCTAAGAGTTTTGGGATGAGAGCTGTGCTCCCACACAAATCTGTCAAAGCCAGGTTAAACACAATCATGTATTTAGGAGTATGGAGAGTCTTGACCAGGTAAATAACTGAGATAAGGAAGCCATTTCCAAGAACAGTTATGATATAAACAAAGCACAGGAACACATAGAAATACTTAACATGAGGGATGTTGGAAAACCCACTGATATAGAATTTTACAGGATGAACAAATGTGGTATTAAATATTACAGCAGCTTTCTCTTCTGGACCCATTTTTTCCCTAAATATAAAAAGAGAAAATCACAGAATAAATAATAAAGTATGGCACAGTGGATTGATATTAACTGTTGTAACCAAACTCACCTCAGACAGCTTTAAGTGTGCAGTGCACTAAAGTGAGTTGTACTGTGAAAGCCCTGACATTTATATTTGAACCCTTTTATCATGGGACAGTAGGAATGCAGGTGACTGTATCACATGGTTTTGAAGATGAATTTACTTTAATGTGTAACTGTCTCATAGTCTCATGTAAATGATGATCTGATGCAATCGACTCAGTTAACTATTGTAAATTCCAGGATACTGAATTATCTATTAATGGTAAAATCCATCATTCAAATGTAGAAACAAGATTAAATCCCAACAAAGTCATTGCTGAGCTGCAGTGGAAGGATAGCAACACATTTCACACTAAACAGGCTCTAACTTTAGAAGATACCCACTTGATAGGACAAACTCAAACTGCTGAAGCCTCATATTAGCTTCTTGTTAAGTTCAGAATACATTTGTCCACAAAAAAAAGACAGACAGGAAAAAGTAATAAGGCACTAGATGGTGCAAGACTTGATAGAATACATAGAAAGAATTATAGACTACTCTGTGTTTTGTTTTCAGTCATTTAGGTCTCAAGCCTATCTAGTGGTCAAAATTCACCAAGCCCAATGAAACCGAACATCATTTATTCAGCCTGATGTTGTGTTTATGTCAATTTCTTTCTTTGCTCTTTGAGCGAACTCAGAAAATATCCTAGACAACTGTAGGTAAATATGAAGCAAGGAAAATATTGTACACCAAATATACCTAAGCTATGTGAGGCAACAAACATGTTTTTTTAAATATTTTTGGGGCATGTATTGCTTTTAATCGACAGGGACAGCCGAAGAGTGACAGGGAAGGGGAAGAGCTAAAGGAGATGAGGGCCACAGGTCGGAGTCAAACCCATGGCCGATAACAAACATGCTGCAGGTGAAGGCAAGATACTAATAATATCTTGACACAGTGGGAATATTCTACATCTTATTGTCAAGAAGAAGTCAGAGTTTAGAGGAAAAAACAATATTAGGAGTAAAGCAAGTGAGACAAACACTGTGTGAAAAACAACACTCTTGGAAAACGTGGCAGAACCAACCTCAGCTGAAGTATTAAACATTCACCACATTGGACACCAGGATGAAAACAGAATGCCAACAGCAAATGAACAACATGAAACTATTCATCTGCTACATGGAATAGATTTTCAGTCAACATTAATGCCAATGAATGAAACTATTCTGCATGCTAACATGCTGACAGTAACAATGCTGTGACCTACTTTATGTCCTAGTGACCTATCAGTGAGTTAAGTTAATAAACAAAAATAGGGGGGCACACTAGCGAGCCACCAGCTGTTCAGATAATCAAGACTTATTACATTTCATTCAGTGGCTTCCATATTACATGGCAGTCTAATGTGACTTCAGAATTACTTTATATGATGCTTTACATATCTTGGTATTAACTTGAACTTTTATTAAAAAGGTCCTGTGACAGCAGAGGAGTAACTCTATATCTGGAGAATTAATCTAACATACATGTTATGATGGTTGGGGAAACCGGAGCACCCGGAGGAAACCAGGATGTTGACACACCTTTGCTATGTTTAGTACTCGTGCTCGTTGCTGGCTTGATTACTTTCCAAAGTCTAAACTTATAGTTAAGATATACCAATCCATTTATTTCTTAAATTAAAACAAACAAATCCTTTACAATAAACAAAACAACAGCCGACTTTGGCACGGTTAAAAAACATATGCCTCACTGTGCGCCACGCCTGTACCAATTAGTCTGCACCTTTAATAGACTTGTGGCTACCCACAGCGCCACCCATAGTAAACATAGAAAATGGCTCCAACACACAACCTTCCAGATGTGAGACGACATTGCTAGCTACCATGCCACCAAAAGATCTTCTGAAGTTTATAGCAAATTTTAAAACATATACCTAACTGAATAAAGACTAAACAACATAAGTCTGTTATCAGAAGATAACAGCATGACCAATCAAACCACAGGAAAAGATCATGATCAACAACAAGAGAACCAACAACAAAAAATCTTGGATCACAATTGTTTATTCACTTAGAAATGCATAACTACATTTGTATATGATTTTAATGTTTTCATTATTATTAATAATTTTTTTCAGAAAATATAAGCTGTGTTGGCTATTACAGGCTGTAGTGTCCTGTATGAGACAGCAATAATATTGGCTACATTTTCAATTTAAAAACCACTTTCAAAATAAGAATTCAAATATATAGATCAGACAATGATTTGCTTTCATAAAAATAAGTTCTCCCTCTACATAACAACATCCAATTAAACACGACAGCAATGATGAAAAATATACACTCGTGCTCATTATGATTTTATGAAAAATGTATTAACCATTACAATGGTTGTTAATCATTAATTTGGCATTTTGGGTTTCTGCTGTTACTTTGAGACATTTTTGGAGAATAATATAAAATAATAGTTTTGTAAATTAATTCTGCATTATATTGAGAGGCATTTATCTTAATATCTTTGTTATAAAGATGGCTATACACATACAATATGTTCACATTACATTATATTTCAGCTTCTGTCAAAGCACTATGGAGTCGTTCTCCAAGTCTTTTCATTAGGCTTATACATAATAAGAAAAACATGTTTATCGTGTAATTGTAGTATAACTGGTTAATTTCAATTTCAATTGTTTTGTAAAAGTATTAATCATAATATTTATATATATTCTGCATAAAATTATTACTAAACAAAAGAACAACAAAGAAAATAAAACTTAGTAATCAAACTTCACACTACCTCTTTTTGTATGGTGTTGCTGATGCAAAATTTAAAATGACAAAAGGCTAAATATGTTCTAATTGTTTGTGGCAATTCTGGATTGCCCTCTGATTTTAAATAACTTTTTCATAGATACTTTTATTTCTTGTGTCTGCAAAACATAAATTATTGGGTTCAACATGGGAGGGATGACAGTAGTCAAAGATAAGTTTATGATCCTGGCATTTGGATGTATTGTAGCCCCAAAGTGATATACAAATATGATAGGGAGGAAATAAATTGCCACTAATGAGAGGTGGCCCGTGCAGGTTTTAAAGGCCTTCCCTCTTTCCTTGGCGGTAGAAATGTTTAACAATGCATAGCCAATACCGCAGTAACTTGCCACGATAAATATTAGTGGAGGCCAAATAATAAGGTTTGATAACAAACCAGCAATTACACGGCTAGGGGTAACATCATTGCAGCCAAGCCGGTACATTGGGCCGTGGTCACAATAATAGCTGTTAATAACCACAGACTTACAGAAGGAAAGTCTTGTTAGAAGGCCAACTGCAATAAGTACAACAATAATGACAAAGACCCAGAAAGAGGCAATCAGAGACAGCATGAACCTGTGGGTCATCTTCACTTGATAATGCAATGGGGAGATGATAGCTATCAGTCTGTCATAGGAGAGTGCAACCAGATTAAGAGCCTGCATTGAAAGGCAGGTGAAGCAGAAAAAAAGGAACGTCAAGCAGTTGTTATAGCTGATGTAGCGATGGTTAAACAGGAAGATGTCAAGAAGCTTTGGCACCAGAGCAGTGTTACCAAACAGATCCACAAATGCTAAATTAAAAACTGCAATATATTTTGGAGTTCTCAGATTATGATCCAAGCATATTACAGTCATCACAATTGTGTTTCCCAGCACTGAAAGAATGTAAATAAAAAAGAGAAAGACATAGTAATACTTAATATTAGGTATGCCAATAAAACCACCTATTATGAAATAAGCAGGACGCACAAAAGTGATGTTTCTCCCAAGAGCAGAGTTGAAAAACTCCATTTGAAGACTTTCTGTCAATGTTTTTCTATTTTCAGCACAGTAGATCATGTAAAGACTCGTCCCCGCTTTTGTTTCAGTTGGAGCCTGGTTTCTGATGACAGAGCTGTGGCAGGCTTTAACCATGTAGTAGCAAATGGCTGGTAAGGGAAGCAGTGCTCTTCTGTGTTTCTGTCAGTTATAGCGCACGGTCTGTTCCCCTATGTATACTGTACAGTTTCTCTACCTGGGCCCGAGGACCCACATGGGGTCACTGGGTGTGCTGAAAGGGTCGTAGTAGAGACTGATATTACTGATACAGTTGAAAACAAAAGAAGGAGTGTTTCAATCGGTTTTGTGGTTCTAAACATATGTTAAAACACCTCTGGTAGTGTGTGTGTGTGTGTGTGTGTGTGTGTGTGTGTGTGTGTGTGTGTGTGTGTGTGTGTGTGTGTGTGTGTGTGATTGTTAAACTCTGACCCAGCCAGCAGAGGACAGAGCAGCATGGCAAAATACTGTACTCCCAGCATAGTTTTTTATTACATGAGTATTCTGGTACAAACATTCCCCCACCAGTATGGCAAGTAGAGATGTACTCGCCAAACAGAAAATCTACCCACATTTGGGGCTTGGCGGGTGTTAATCTGGGATGACAGTCAGATGTCTTGCTTGTGCAATTTGGTCAGTGCTCGTCTTCCTGGTGTGAAGTTTGTGGCTCTTACTTGGAAAAAGGTGAATTTGAAAATTACTCAAAGTTATAGTATATTATGCGCAAAAAGTTATTACGTTAATGGTTCAAAAATGTCATCACATTATTGGCCAATTTCAGACAACATTTCATTAGATGAAAAACACCTTATCAGCTATCATTAAACAGTACATTATTGGGTGTTAAAAAAAATTTAATTTTTGAGCCATTAGCCCAGCTACAACACAGTCAGTCAAAATGTTAAGAGCATAAATGTGCTTCTACTGCCTGTAAATGCCACCAGACTTCTTGCCCTTCCAGTGCATGGATTCATTAAGGAGAAGTGGATTTGAGAACTGGCATTGGAGACAGGGCTCCATTCACTCCTAAGGCTGCTCAGTGGTCAACCTTGCTGTTCTTGTTCTGCTGTGTGGCTATTAGTATTAAGGTTAACTGAGAGAAAAAAAAGACAGATAAATCCCTTGTATGTGTTCACATGCTTGGCCAATAAAGCTTGATTCGGATAGAACACAAGGTTGTTGCCATGACAGTAGCTACTGTAGTAACTCCATTATGAAACTGTCAAAAGTGCAGTGATTTATACACAGAACTGTGTTGTCTTCTCTAGATAGAGATGAGCTATTCTCTCCCTCTTTCTCTGGTGACAGAGCTCTGTCCAGGTTTAACTGTCTCGACAGGAGTGGCTACTAAGAGAAGCAGTCCTCTTTATTTCTGTCAAATAAGGGTCAATGCCTGTTCCCCTGTGTATGTTGTATGTAAGTTACTCATCATCAGACAAATCCATTTTAATCAATCTTACTTAACACAAATGTATAGAGCACCTATAACGCACTCTGTGGTACTTGTTATTATATTTCAGTGAAATATATTTTGTATAGTTATTGTAAGAGAAGACAATGAATGAAAATCGCTGCTATTTTTTTCATAATTGCAATGACAAATACATTTGAACTTGATTAAAATTGCATTGTAACAAGAGTAAGACTGTAAAGCCATAGCAGCCCTGTCAGGCTGTACTTAGCCACAAAGCTTATGGACAATAATAACTATGGCCACCCCTGACTTTTCATCTAGTGCCACTAATGGTATTCCCATAAGCCTCAGCTGTGCTATAGGTTGACCGCTGGGAAACTTCAGCATACCGCTCAAAGCGACGTTGTGCCTGAGTATAGTGTCACAGAACCACTAGAATGGCTATTCCTGGTCTTGTTTTATTATATGTAATTTAAAAAAAGTAAAACATTTTTCTAGATGTAGAAAAAACACTAAATCATGATGCACACAAACACCAAAACACATGAGACAATAGCCAAGTTATCATTGTTTTACAAATACACAATTCAGCTTCTTTATAAGGTTTTAGATTTTTAACCAAAGATATGAAATTAACTTCCAGATACACAGTAGACTGGACACAGTATCATGCATACAGAGAAAAGATAGAAATTGGTAACAATAACTTATTTGCTCAAGTATTGCTTGAAGAAGAAAAACATACAGCACTTTTTTTTCTTTATCTGCTCACAAAATGATGTTATTCTGAAGAACAATTCCAGTGTAGGCTACTGTTTTATTCTATGACCCCTTTCAGAAATAAAAATAAATTGTACAAAGAACAAATTAAACATTTTGCTTTTAAATAACTGCCAGCATATAAAGACAAGAATAAGTAAACTATATTCAGTTATTTTTTTCAAATATTTATATATTCTTTCAACTTTTTTTCTACTATAATTCTTGTAAAGCACACACATTTTTTTATGGATTATGTTGACTAGTAAAACATAAATCTAAATAAATTTAGATAATAAAGTCTTTAAACATTCCTATGAAAACATTATCAACTGCTGAAATCACATCATAGGTGCAGCTTTTATCACACAGGCAGAAACTAGTGGGCTCACACTGTAGGAATATTGTGTGGTGTTATCTTTAAGAAGAGTGTTTTATTTCAAGACTTGTTGCAAAATATCTACTTGATTCATAGACCTGAATTTTAAAAGCAAAGACTAATTATCACATTGTTGTTGTAATTTTGGATTGCACTCTGATTTTAAACAACTTTTTTATAGATTCTTTGATTTCTTGTGTCTGCAGAACATAAATGATTGGGTTCAACATGGGAGGAAAGACTGAGGTCAAAGACAAGTTTATGATTCTGGCATTAGGATGTATATTTTCCATCAAGGTAAATGTGATTAATAGTGGGATGAAATAGATTGCCACCAGTGAGAGATGTCCTATGCACGTTTTAAAGGCCTTGAGTCCTTGTTGAACTGTGGCCACTTTAGCCAAAGTACAGCCAATATATAGGTAACTTAACAAGATAAAAAGGAGTGGAAGCCAAAAAATAAGAACTGGGTACAAACAACTAAGGACATAATTTGGGTAATGGTCATTACAGGCAAGTCTGTATATCTGGCCATGGTCACAGAAATAGCTGTTAATAACCACAGACTCACAAAAGGAAAGTCTTGTAATAAGGCCAACTGCAATAAGCACAGCAATTATAACAAATACCCAGAAAGAGGCAATCAAAGAAAACATAAACCTGTGAGTCATCTTCACTTGATAATGCAATGGGAAGATGATAGCCACCAGTCTGTCATAGGAAAGTGCAACTAGATTAAATGACTGCATTGAAAGGCAGGTGTAGCAGAAAAAAAGGAACGTCAAGCAGTTGTTGTAGGCGATGTAACGATGGTTAAACAGGAAGATGTCAAGAAGCTTCGGCACCAGAGCAGTGTTACCAAACAGGTCAACAAATGCTAAATTAAAAACTGCAATAAATTTGGGAGTTCTCAGATTATGATCCAAGCAAATTACAGCCATCACAATTGTGTTTCCCAGCACTGAAACAATGTAAATAAAAAAGAGAAAGACATAGTAATAATTTATATTTGGAATTCCAGATAAACCACTTATTATAAAATAAGCAGGACGCACAAAAGTGATGTTTTTCCCAAGAGCTGAGTTGAAAAGGTCCATTGTAAGAACACAATGATTTAAGTAGAGAAGTGTCCCCTTCTGTGCATCAGCACCAGGACTGTGTGTCTTTTGTAGATGGAGATGAGCTCTTCTCTCTCTGTCTGGTGACAGAGCTCTTCACAGGGGTGGGTACCAAGAGAAGCCCTCGTCCTCTGCATTTCTGTCGCATTAGACACATGTCTGTTCCCCTGGGTCTGTTGTAGGTAAGCCACTCATCATCAAACAAACCCATTTCAATCATACTGAGTGCAATCATGTAATTTACAATCTATTTATGTCTATCTATAAAGCACCTATAACTATTTTTTTATATTTGTGTTGTATTTCAGTGAGTGACTAATCAAGTGTTCTGTTTAATTGCAATATTTTCGACAGGTATTTTGAGAGGAGGCAGTAAATAAATATGTGACCATTCATTTGGCTGTACCTTTCATGGCTGCAATGACAAATAAACTTGGACTTATAGTTATAGTACATCCAAAATGTTTTTCTTCATAAACAACCAAAACATGTGTTAAAGCATTCTGCAATTACATACTAAAACGACACAGGACTTCACATCCGGTAACCTAAATCTAACTTCAGTTATTTCATAATAAAAACCTCAATCTAAATAAACATGTCAAAACATTTTTGCAATTTTACTGTTTTAATCCTTTAACATCCTAAAAATTTAAAACATGCAGGCACAAAAAGAACAGCTCAGCTCCTGTAGCTGCTGCACAACAACATTCTTCACAAAAAGAAAATCAGTACACCCTTGAATGGCTGAAGAGGTTTAATGTGAAGCATGACGCTACATGTTCTGGATATAGTAAGAATGTTTAACTGTGACACTAAGAAACAGCATTTGATCATCAACATTTGATCACAGTAAATCAATGTAGCTTCTTCATATGCTTTAGATTTTTTATCAAAAAGTATTCAAAATAAACTCCACATACACAGTAATGTTTACTCCATCTAGTTATCATATGCAGGAACATACATTGTTTGATCATAATTACTTGTTGAAAGTCTTGTAAGAGGGCCAACTGCAATAAACACAGCAATTATAACAAATACCCAGAAAGCGGCAATCAGAGACAGCATGAACCCGTTGGTCACCTTCACTTGATAATGCAATGGGGAGATGATAGCACAGCCAACAGAGTGCATAAAGGCAGGTGACAAAAAACGCAACAGTAGGGGGCGATGGTTAAAGAATGTCAAGAGCTTGCACCAGAGCAGAGTTACCAAACAGGTCCACAGTTCCTAAATTAAAAACTGCAATACATTTTGGAGTCTCAGATTACTATCCAAGTATATTACAGCCATCACAATTATGTTTCCCAGCACTGAAAGAATGCAAATAAATAGACATAGTAATAATTTACATTTGGGAAATACAAAATAGGCAGGATGCACGAAAGTGATGTTTTTCCCAAGAGCTGAGTTGAAAAGGTCCATTGTAAGAGCACAATGATGTAAGTTGCTCTTCTGTGCATCAGCACCAGGACTGTGTTGTCCTTTGTAGATGGAGATGAGCTCTTCTCTCTCTTTCTGGTGACAGAGCTACTGTATGTCCAGGTTTAACTGTCTTGCCATGAGTGGCTACTAAAAGAAGCAATCCTCTTTATTTCTGTCATATAAGACTCATGTCTGTTCCCGTGTCTGCAGTAAGCCACTCATTATTATTAATGACTGCAATTATGTAATTTATAATCTATGTCAGAATCATGTACTGGGTCAGGTACCCATTGGTTTTCCTATCACACAACTGACAACCAAGCTGCTCTACGTTTGTATGCAGTGACTTCATATTGTCTAAAGTGGAGAGAGATTTAGCGAACTGGCATGTTGCTTGATGGACATTGGTGCCCATCTGGTTGAGTTGACACAGGAGCAATATAAACATGTCAAAACTTTCTTGCAATTTTGCTGTGGTAATCCTTTAAAATGTAAGCATACACACACAAAAAGCACAGCATGCTTTCAGACCAGCTCACTCTACGAGCAATGAATTAGTACACATGACTGATCAATGGTTAACATATATGGATGACAGAAAACTAGTTTCAAGGGCTGTGCCCTTGGATTTAACTGCAACTTTTGATGTCATTGGCCACAGCATTCTTATTGCCAAGCCTAAATGTTATGGTTTTTCACTTTTAGCTCTTGCTTGGATGAAGAGTTATCTCTTAGGTAACACAGCAAGTGTTTCTTAATGACAGTGTCTCTAACAGCAAAAAGGTATCTTGCCGTGTTCCACAAGGGAGTTGCATAGGGCCCCGTTTATTTAAATTTTTTATAAACGACCTTCCATATATTGTTAAAAATGCTGATGTAGTGATGTATGCTGATGATTCAACTTTGTTCTGTGCATCACCCACATTTGTGGAACTGAGAGAGAATCTACTTGTTGAGTTGGATGCAATAACTAAATGGGTGAAAATGAACAAATTGGTACTGAACATTGACCAAACTACCGCACTCCACTTCTCTATAGATGGGATATTTGTTGAGCAGGTCACAAACCAAATTACTGGGCATTAGATTAGATTAGATAAGATAATTTACTGTCTTGGTCCGGCCAGATTGATCATATTGTCTCTATGATGGGAAAGGGCATTGCTATTTCTACAAGGAAATGTTCTGCATATGTTTCACCTTCTGTTATGAATGATGTTGTTTGGTCACTTGTTCTTTCATACCTGGAGTATTGCCTAGTCATCTGGTTAAGCTCTGCTGAGAAACATCCAAAAGCAAATAGCTCAGAACAGAGCTGCCAGATTAGTTCTTCATTGTTCTTTTCGTGTTAATGTGTGTGAGATACATAAACCATTATCTTGGCTTACTATAGAAGCTAAATTGAAATCTATTCTTCTGTTGTAATGTGTCCTCTGGTATAATACGCCACGCTTCTTTTGTGAACAGACTTACAGAAGGAAAGTCTTGAAAGAATGCCAACTGCAATAAGTACAACAGTAATTGCAAAGACCCAGAAAGAGGCAATCAGAGACAGCATGAACCTGTTGGTCATCTTCACTTGGTAATGCAGTGGGAAGATGATAACTATCAGTCTGTCATAGGAGAGTGCAACCAGATTAAGTGCCTGCATTGAAAGGCAGGTAAAGCTAAAAAAAAAAAAGGACCTCACCTTGGAGAGATTCTCTCTCCTCTATAAAAAAAAAAAAAAAGGAGCAGTAGAGATCTCTTCACTCATCACTATCGAAACTATCTCTCCACCCAGCTACATATTCCATATGTACAGGGACTCTGTAAGACACCTCACGAAGAAGCTGAGCAGTCACAGACTCACAAAACTATCACTGTTGCTCTAATCATATACACAACTCGATGAGCCCACACCCGTGTTATAAACAAACTATATACAAATATACAATATTTACAAACCCCTTTGCCGGCAGGACAACAAGACAACACCACAACATTTGATCACAATAAATCAATGTAGCTTCTTTATATGCTTTAGATTTTTCATCAAAAATGTATTCAAAATAAACTCCAGATACACAGTATTGTATACTCCATCTAGTTATCATATGCAGAAACATACATTGTTTGATCATAATTACTTATTTTGGTTTTTTTTTATTACAAATTTAAAAAAAACTAAATAATACATTTATCTGTGAGTTTTTGATTTTGCACCAACCGTCACATCTGCTTTCATAATTCAGGCTGTCACTATCTCAGAACAACTTCTGAATAGATTGCTTTTCTAATTGTATACCCTATCTCAATTACAAATGATTCAAATGTATAGACTATAAATCAGACACTTTGTTTTTGAATAACTGCCAGCACATAAAAAGAAGAAAAATGCAGTCACTGCACTTTTTTTATTTATATTTATGTTCCCTTTGTAATTTCCCTAAAACGTAACATATTTTGCATGTGGGGTTTCTGTAAGGACTTTACTGGATAGTGGCAATGGTTTTGTGGATAACCTTGAAAACGAATAAGAAACCTATATATTGATAACTTTGTTGTATGGATACAAACATTCCTATAAAAAACACTATCAGTTGCTTTCCTTGTTCTTGCGGTTCTCACACAAGCACTATTATTACTCTACATCAGTTCATGCACTGTAAGAGAAGTATACATGGTAGTTATAATTGTATTATGCTATATTTACAAATGGTTTTCATTTCAGTGATTGTTCTTTAAAAACTGTTATTTGATAAATAATACATACATTTTCAGACAAATCTAGTATTCATCATGGCCATCTTACTGTAATGAAAACAATGTCAAAAAACAAAAGGCCCAAAACATCAACAAATGCTACCATTACGGTTACTTTTTTGTTGTAATTTTGGATTGCACTCTGATTTTAAATAACTTTTTTATAGATTCTTTGATTTCTTGTGTCTGCAGAACATAAATAATTGGGTTCAACATGGGAGGAAAAACAGAGGTCAGAGACAAGTTAATGATTCTGGCATTTGGATGTATATTTCCCATCAAGGTGAATGTGATTAATATTGGGAGAAAATAAATTGCCACTAATGAAAGATGACCTGTGCAGGTTTTAAAGGCCTTGACTCTTTCCTGAACTGTCGCTACTTTAGACAGTGCAAAGCCAATATATAGGTAACTAAACAAGATAAATATCAGAGGGAGCCAAAGAATAACAAATGGTAACAAAACACTAATGACAAAGCTGGGTGTATAGTCATTGCAAGCCAGTCGATATATCTGGCCATGGTCACAGAAATAACTGTTAATAACCACAGACTTACAGAAGGAAAGTCTTGTAAGAAGGCCAACTGCAATAAGCACAGCAATTATAACCAATATCCAGAAAGAGGCAATCAGAGACAGCATGAACCTGTGGGTCATCTTCACTTGATAATGCAATGGGAAGATGATAGCTATCAGTCTGTCATAGGAGAGTGCAACCAGATTAAGAGCCTGCATTGAAAGGCAGGTGAAGCAGAAAAAAAGGAACGCCAAGCAGTCGTTGTAGGGGATGTAACGATGGTTAAATAGGAAGATGTCAAGAAGCTTTGGCACCAGAGCAGAGTTACCAAACAGATCCACAAATGCTAAATTAAAAACTGCAATATATTTTGGAGTTCTCAGATTATGATCCAAGCATATTACAGCCATCACAATTGTGTTTCCCAGCACTGAAACAATGTAAACAAAAAAGAGAAAGACATAGTAATACTTAATATTAGGGATTCCAGATAAACCACTTATTATGAAATAAGCAGGACGCACAAAAGTGATGTTTTTCCCAAGAGCAGAGTTGAAAAAGTCCATTGTAAGATTTATATCGAGCTTTCACTGTCCGAAGCACAGGCTGTTATGTAGAGAACAGTAGTGCATGTCACTACTGTGTTCTGTTAAGTAGATGGAGATGAGTTATTGTCTCCTGCTGTCTGTTCCATGATGAAGCTCTTACAAGCTCTTTTGTTTTTCAGTCCTATATCTATAGGTATGTTAAATAAGGATAATGTCCAATCCCTGGAGTTTATTGCATCACAAAAAATATTTTCAATGGCCTTCCCTGAAAAGACATGTAGTTGCCAGGCGATTGGACTATTTCTCTCATTTGTTTTGGTGACTAGTCTGACCGGCAGACTTTAGTTGGTACACAGGTTGTTATCTTGTTGTGTAGGCAGTCGTGGGCACACATGCAGCCTCTGTGTGGGTTGATGGCAAAATAAATAACTTACTTCACTGTTCTTAACTTTCGCTAGATACATTCTAAAAGAGTAGACGTTTGGGCATATGACAAAAACCTTAAATGTCTTCAGAGTAAAGTCATAATAATAAATAAAAAGTATAATAATAGTTCAATATAAAATAATAAAAACTAAAAACTGAGATTTGGCTTTGCTGCCTCGCAATAAGCCCAGTGCTCACAATATTATACAATTAGCTTACAATGTGACCATAGGCCTTTATGTCTCAAAACAGCTGCATCAAGCCCATTCAATCTGCCTCACCCAGATTTCCTTTTATACACTTTAAAATATAAAATATTGTTTTTACTATAGCTTGACTGAATACTCAATGGTTACCTTTTACAGAGAGATCTGATCCATTATGTCCAGCTAATCAACATTTTAAATTCAATATTCAGTCAATGTCAATTCATTGTTTCCTATCTGGCATTATAGAGTTGTGACTAAACCATGACTGACGGACTAGATAATCATTATCTTGTTTAAAAATGATGTGCGTCTGTGAGAAGTGCCACCTGCCCATATATTGTCTGGACTGGTGCCCACAGCGGTTGCTGCTGCCGGGAAGTTTCAGGTCGTGCACGCACATATGAACGTACGCACGCAAACTACTTTTATCTTTTCCCGAGCTGCAGCTTATAAACACTGATGCCTGTTGGTGTTTATCAAACATAAAAATATTGAATTTCACTCTCATGTTTGACAGGCACAAAGTCACAGAATAGCCCTGAAACACACAGACAGACCAAGAACTGCACTGCTCTGTTTTGTTCATGCCAGGTGGGTTCATGTTGACCCAAGGGATTGTTTACATAACTGAAACCCACTGACATGTACATAACAGGAAAGAGTGATGGACTATTACACCAGTTGTCTGTGTGTATAAATACCAGAGTTGTACTGTTTTCTTCAGCTTATTTGCAAATAAACTCATTCAAATCCACAAGTCCTGATCTTCAACTCATTATTGAGGCATCATTAAAAGACATAATACTGTTAGTGAGACAGAATAGAGAGAGATGCGGCAAACTGCACATCAACTTAACATTACTGTTATTTACTGATATAAACACAACTTTACCTGATTCCTCTTATCACAATTCACTCTCATTATGTGTTTTTTTCCCCCTCTTTTTCTGATGGATAGTCCGTTCATCCTCTCATCAAAGTTGTAAACATTGTCACCCATTTTGACATGGAGGGGGGAGGTGGGGCCCTTGCAAATTTGGAGGGCCCTACGCAGCTTGTGTAGTGTGCGTGCAGGGAGGACCAGCTCCGGGTAGAGGGAAGAATGGATTCGACTAAATACAAGTAAATTCTGGAAGCAAACATCACACAGTATGTAAAAAAGCTGGAGCTGAAAGGAGGATGGCTTTTACAACAGGATAATGATTCTTAATCTACTAAGGACTACCTCAACAGATTCAAAGGCTTTGGAATGGTCCTCAAAGGCCCCTGACTTAAATATCATTGAAAATCTGTGGGTAGATCTTAAAAGAGCTGTGCATTACTAAGATTACTAAGAACTGACAGTGTAGGTTGCCCCAACTTTTGCACATGCCACAATGATGTTTTTGTTTTATTTCTATTTATTATTTTCTATCTCTATTTTTTGTTCAGTTTATGAAATAAAATGAAACGATGCCTGAATCTTTGCTGCAAATATTGTGTTTTATGCTCCTTACCCTCCGTATTTACATCTTTTTTTAATGAAAAAAATCACCAAAATGTGTTATTTTTTAAGAGATGGACAAACTCTCACTTACAACTGTCATGTGGCTTCAAACAGGAATTATTAGGAACAGAAGTCCTCCTGCATGAACTGAATCGCCCCAGGATGAGTGGAAAGAGAGCTGGGATAAGAGCTATGCTCCAGGATCAAGCCATTGCTCTCGATGGGCATGTTCTGTAATAATGTACTGCATATTATATATGTATGTTAGAAAACATTGTAAATTAATTCATAAAAGACAAGTAGACAAGGCAACAAGACAGCTCAAGTTAGTTTAGTTTTAAATTAAACTATGAGGTATCCATGATCATAAATTAACAGAAACAGAAAAACATTTGATCATTGATTTTGGAAATACAAAGAATATGATTTTTGTATGTTTTTAATTTTGCACCTTAAGATGAAAAAAGACAAATTCAGATAATACATAGACAACATATGCTGAAACAATTTTTTTGTAGTATATCCTTGCAGTTGTCTTACAAGCACGTAAAAACAAATTATACCAACTAGCAGAATAAAAGTCTTAACATTGGTAGGTTCTACATCATTGAATGTCACACTGTAGATTGTAGTTTTTACCATGTTTAGCTATCTTTAAAATAGTTAACTGTTGTTTTATTGATTTTACTCTGACAAACTGTAATGTACATCATGTCCTAAACAGGCCAAAAATATACACAGTCATTTCATGATTACTTTCTTCACCGTAATTTTGGATTGTTGGATTTTAAATAACCTTTTTATAGATTCTTTGATTTCTTGTGTCTGCAGAACATAAATGATTGGGTTCAACATGGGAGGAAAAACGGAGGTCAGAGACAAGTTTATGATTCTGGCATTTGGATGTGTATTTGCACCCATAGTAAATGTGATTAATGTTGGTAGGAAATAAATTGCCACTAATGAAAGATGACCTGTGCAGGTTTTAAAGGCCTTCACTCTTTCCTGAACTGTCGCTACTTTAGACAGTGCAAAGCCAATGTATGAATAACTTAACAAGATAAATATTAGTGGAAACCAAAGAATAAGAGCTGATAACAACTTACCAATGACAGAGTTTGGAGTTCTGTCATTGCAGGAAAGTCTGTATATCTGACCATGGTCACAGAAATAGCTGTTAATAACCACAGACTCACAGAAGGAAAGTCTTGTAAGAAGGCCAATTGCAATAAGCACAGCAATTATAACAAAGACCCAGAAAGCGGCAATCAGCGACAGCATGAACCTGTGGGTCATCTTCACTTGATAATGCAATGGGAAGATGATAGCCACCAGTCTGTCATAGGAGAGTGCAACCAGATTAAGAGCCTGCATTGAAAGGCAGGTGTAGCAGAAAAAAAGGAACGCCAAGCAGTCGTTGTAGGGGATGTAACGATGGTTAAACAGGAAGATGTCAAGAAGCTTCGGCACCAGAGCAGAGTTACCAAACAGATCCACAAATGCTAAATTAAAAACTGCAATATATTTTGGAGTTCTCAGATTACGATCCAAGCATATTACAGCCATCACAATTGTGTTTCCCAGCACTGAAACAATGTAAACAAAAAAGAGAAAGACATAGTAAAACTTGATATTAGGTATGCCAATAAACCCACTTATTATGAAATAAGCAGGACGCACAAAAGTGATGTTTTTCCCAAGAGCAGAGTTGAAAAACTCCATTTGAAGATTTCTGTCAAGATTTTACTGCCCTGTAATGTAGAGAACAGTACTGCATATCACCTGTTATGTAGACGGAGGTGAGCTCTTCCCCCTTGCTGTCTGTCTGACAGTGAAGCTCTGACAAGCTTTAACATTTTTGCAGTCCACGTGTGTTTATGTCAAATAAGGTTAATGTCTGATCCCTTGAGTCTATTGCATCAGAAAAACTCATTCAATGCAATCTGCTTATATGATTCTACGATACAGCTTTCTATTTGAAGCCTATGGAGCATCAAAAGCTTTTACTGTCCACAATGCAGTGATTGATGCAGAGAAACATCCTCCCTCAGCATTTCAGTACTGTTTTCTGTGAAATTGTTTGTGATGATGAAATTCTGTCACGGTTTGACTATTTTGGCTGGAGTGGTTACAGATCTCTGCCTATGAATGCTAAATCTTGTTGGCAGATTTAGAGGCTCAATCCAAAAGCTAAAACTGGTTGTAATAAACAAAAACTTTATGGGGGAACTGTTGTGTCTCTGTAGATAATTTTATTAGGTATACGGCCTAGACCTGCTCTATTTGAAAAGTGTCCTGAGATAACTTCGGTTATGAATTGGCGCCATACAAATAAAATTGAATTAAATTGAGAGCTGGCAGCCAGGCAAATCTGGTGGCAGAGGAAATTGTTTGGCAAGCAGGCTGGCAATCTAAAGACTACACTGGCTAACTTGTTCAGAAGAGCTGACGCGGGGCACACAACACACTGTGTGTGGTGCAACAAGCCGGCAGGGACTGGATGTCAGCCAGGCTTCTTACAGTGGTGAGGTGCAGTCTTGATTGAAGGCAGGTGTGCTTGATTGTGGATGACCAGCAGGTGAGTGGAGACAGAGAGAGGGCAAGGGGGGGAAGGGAACAAGCAGACAGACAGACAAAACAAAACCCAACAAGCACACCTCACTCACACCATGAGGTAGAAAACAAAACCACACATCACAATCAAATTGTGATGGCTAGACGACAGAGCATCTCCAAACCTGTAGTTCTTGTGGAGTGTTCCCAGTCTGCTGAGGTCAGTACCTATCATAAGTGGTCCAAGGAAGAAACGTGGTGAACCGGAGACAGGGTCGTAGGTGGCTAAGGCTCATTAATGCACATGGGGACATTTTGGTGTAAACATTTATCCGCAACTGTGGCCAATAGCCTCTCTATGCTAAATCTATGCAGACAAAATATCTGCTGGTAATTTGGCGCTTGGTGGGTGTTAATTTTGGACCTTGTTTACAATCATTCAGTGTTCCCTCATTTGTACTCATGACCTTTGGATACCAAGATCCTGCTTAGTACCTACTTTTGGGCTTCCCAGTAGTTCACCTGATAAAGCACGTACTAGGGCTTACTACTACTACTACTACTACTAGGGATGTGGTAAATAAATCATATTGCGATTATTCTGATTGGTCATTGCATGGAAAAAAACTTAAAATCATGATGATGTGATATTTGTTGGGGTCCATTTTTTTTTATCTGTAGATGAAGATTTGTAGGCCAAGACATGTCTAAAGTATCACAGTACTTCATTATAATCCTGTTTTGTCCCAAATTTGACCTTTATTAAAAAATTGCAGCTTCTGCAATTTGGATATTCCACTTGGCCATATTGCGATTTTTACAATATTTTGATTAATTGTGCAACCACGTACCAAGGTCCTTACCACAGCCGCCCGGGTTTTTTCCCTCCATTTCCCCTGCCTTTTCTGTCTCTCTCTCCTGTCACTGTCAAATAAAGTAAAAGTCCAAACAAAGAACCTACTTTTAATGTGCTAGTGTGTTTTAGAATACACTGAATGCCCGAAGGAAACAGACTGTCTATGAATCTAAACATGCTGCTTTTTACATAATAAATACTGTATGTCCATAAAGTCAGAAGGAACAAACTTTTTTGTGCTGCTTGGTACTTCAGATTGTTTGCTTCTTGCAATAAGTAACAAGTTCACAACTGAATGATTTGTTACTCCCTTGTTGAATGCTGGAACAACTGGGCCTAATGAGGGTGTTAATGAGTTGTTTGTTGACATTGCTCTTGCAGGATGATGACACATCCAGAACAGTTAGGTAAACACTTTGTCCCAAACTGCAGGGGACGGTCAAGAGAGACGGAGGGAGGGGGGGGGTTGGTTATGTAAGGTCAGTTGGAAGTTGGAAGACAGCAAGAATAACATTGCTACATGAAGTTAGAAACTTTCCATGACCTGGATTATTTTAAGGAACAAGGATAACAGAAAAAAAATGTTACGGTGTTTAGCAGCCATTTGGTTAAAAAATAACATTTTATAGAAAGCTTGGTTTTAATAATTCACGTGTTATGTCGGCTGAGCTACTGTATTGCTTGTTTGTGAAACCAATAATCATATGAGGACAGCAATAAATCTTCAGCAATGGAGCAACCATTTATTTAGAACCAGTCAAAATATGTGAAATCCCATTCCCCGTGTCATAACTAAACTGAATTCTGTCCGTCAACTGGGGTTTTACACAATAAATAAAGGAGGGATTCACATTTACTAGGGGCGGGTGAAAAAAATCAATTCATATAGGGATCACAATTCACATATTTTATGATTCTGAATCAATTCACAAAAAACAAAAATCAATTTGTAATATATATATATATATATATAAATAATAATAAATTGATGTAATAATAACTGGGGCACAGAGCAGCACCCAGGTAGTGCACATGTCACAGTTACTTTGTAGTTATTCTACAAGAAGGCAAGCGCTTGGATGCATTTTTGATTCAATGAAGTTCTTAGGAGTTTCAAACCAGCAATACTCCACTTTTCTCATTCCCAGGATTGGATGCATTAGCACCTGAAGCGATGTTTTACGAGTTTGGAAAATATACTTATTAATGTGACTTCTTGAACAAAAAACAGTTCCAGCACAACACTCTGTAAAACCCCAAATTTATGTTTTTACATTTTGTTACTTGTACAAATGAAACAAGCATCACATAACAAATTAATTTGTGAGCTTTAGAGATGCTGGTATACGTTCTTTTTTTTTTGCTTTGTTTTGGAAGTTTTTACCTTTTAGCAGACCCAGGATAGCTAGGTCCCTCTGTTTCCAGTACTTTTGCTAAGCTAAGCAAAACAAGATTGCATCATACTTGCCCTTTGTTTTCCAACTTCCATCAGCAGGTCTCATTAGAGACCTAATTAACTAGCAGAGTTTTTCAAGTGAGTAGGTAAACTGATTTGCTTTACACAACTCAAAAATATTTCACAGGTCAAAAGGTTGCCTATAAATAAGTGTTTTTATTTTGCAAACTTCTATATGGAGTGTAATATTCTATGACAACAATGCATTTGGAGGTGCATAGTTATTTTGATAGATAAATAAATCAAGGGCTAAAAGTCAGCTGTTTATCCCTCAAATGTGTTTGAATTAAAATCCAAAAGAAGTACTTTTGTCTGCACCAGTAATCTTTTAGCCATTTAAAAACTGGAACAGTAGACAACTCTGAAATAATATTTGTATATGCAATAACTGTACTATGTTAACTCCTGCCTTGGATAAAGCACATTCTAAATTGACTGGGACACAGCGGATACATTCAGTATTTGTTATTAATTTCATTTGGTGTTGTCTACAACATCAGAGCCTACTCAAGAGACTATTAAAGCTCCACGGGCCACAAGACCTCTAAACTCAAACTATTACATGCCGTATTGTCCGTAGGGATTTACTATTAAGGTATTGTCACCAAACTAATGAAATTAGCTCCCTAATGTTGGTGTTTAAATTCTCCCATAGCGAGAGAAAAAATAAAGAGGACAAAATGATGGGATGCATCCACTGCCTCAGGCCTGCAGGGAACAGTTCATTACACTTACTAAATTCTGCCAAAAAAAAAAAAAAAACCTCACAAATTAGACTCCAGAGGGAATCATCCACCTGTTAATTTGACAACATTATAACATTTAATATTGTTTCCAGGAGAAACACAGCATATTTTAACTTATACATAAGGTTGAAACTAGTTTTTTGTCTGGATCAATTTATCTAGTAGTTGAACAAATCAACTCATTGTTTCTTCTACAAGATGTCAGAAAATAAGTAATTAATTAGAAGATTAAAAGATAAATGGAAGTTGCAAATGCACACTTCTCAAGCTGAAACATAAATTTTTATTTTAGAAATAACCATATATGGTAACTTCCTTATGACAGTTTTTATTACACTTCTATGGCATATTTTGGTGTTTCTTTTTATTTTTATAGGTGATATACTAATACACACTTCACTGTTATGGCTTTCTTTCACAAATAACTCAAAGTGGGCTTGATCTTGATTTTCCTATGGCTTATTTATTACATATTTTCATAGTATATTGATGTGGCATATTTCTTTTGCAGCAGCTGTCTGCTCAGTCCTATGGGGAGAGGAGGCCTGCTGTGCCACAGACTGTAACACTCCAGGGTTAAAATTTAAAATTTCCGAGTATTTCAATGAGTGTCCTATAAAGGCTTAAAACAATTAATCAGTTATAAAAAATGTAATTCTCTGTCAATCAACTTAGCATTACTGCACTTGTGTATAATATACATACTCACAGTATAAGTACAGTGGTACGAGCTGAAGATGCAGTTTACGTATTAGGAGTAGTAACTGAAGTTGTAGCAGTATTATTGCTAGCTGTAGATGCAGTAATAGTTGTGGTAGTCAAAATCATAGTGGTAGTATTAGTTGCAGTGACAGTAGCCTAATAATACTAGTAGTAGAAGTAATAGTCACTGCAGTAATAGTAGCAGTAATAGCATCTGTAGTGGAAGTATTAGTGGCATTAGGTGTACCAATGCCCATCTTTAGACCTAGATCTCATAAATACTTATACAGTATCTTTAACATCTTTACGCTCTCTTTACTTTTTTCAGTGCAGAGTTAACTTGAGCTCACTTTCCTCCATTACAAACAAGTCTATCAATGCTGCTGCGGGCTGACCCATGGGAATCTCACCGCAACGCCACTGTACTTTCTCATTTGCCCTCACGAGAGACCTGATCTGTTGTTTTCGTCATACCACACTGCTTCCCGGAGGACAAAAGTCTTGCTTACACCTGTTATGACCA